AAAATCCCAGCTTGTTGCCAATCTTCACATTGTGGGATGTCTCAAGATATGGTTAAGTGCTCAAATTCCTGAGAACCAGAAAGCCAGGTGAATCTTCATAGTGTGCTGTTAGTCATGGCTTTTGTTTCCAGTGCTTCTGGAAATTTCCCAGACCAAAGACTTCAGCTTAGCCTGATTTCAACCAGTCTCTACAGATACCTTTTTTGTTGTTGTTGTTTTGTTTTTTAAGATTTATTTATTTGAAAGGCAGAGTCGCAGAGAGCCAGAGGCAGAGACAGAGATCTTCCAGTCACTAGTTCACTCCCTAATTGGCTGCAACTGCAGGAGCTGCACCGATCCGAAGCCAGGAGCCAGGAGCTTCCTCCGGGTCACCCACGTGGGTGCAGGGGCCCAAGGACTTGGACCATCTTCTACTGCTTTCCCAGGCCATAGCAGAGAGCTGGATCAGAAGTGGAGCAGCCAGGACTTGAACTGGTACCCATATGGAATGCTGGCACTGTAGCTTAGCCTACTACACCACAGCAATGGCCCTGATATAAGACTCTTTGAAAGTAAAAATTGTTTAACATTATAAAGTGATATTTAATAATAATAATATCCCACAGACTTTTTCAACCAAAGATTTAAAAATGTAAAGCTTTCTTGTTTATAATAATGTGCATCACAAAACTTCAAGAAACACAGAATATCATAAAAACAAAAATAAAGATTACTTGTAAGTTCATCAGACTTTAAAGTACATATATGAATCATGTATTTCTTAAATGGAACAGATCTCTGTATTTTCTAACCATGCACTTTCACTTAATGATAGGCTGTGGACATCTTTGCATATTAATAAATACAGATATACTACATTATTTTCTTTCTTTAAAAATCTGGAGGAGGAAATAATATGTATAACACCAAGCATAAATTTCTCCAGAAAATTTTTTCAAATTGAGGAATAGCACACATAAAGTACATAAAGTTTTATATATATCTCAATAAATTTTTACAAATGTGTTTTAATCTGCTCAGGCTAAAATAACAAAATACTTTAGATTGGGAGGCTTAAACAACAGGAATTTATTACTTACAGCTTTTGAGGCTGGTGGGTCAAAGGTTAAGGTCCTGGCAAGGTACTAATCCTATGGGTCAGCCCTATGCTTATGACCTCATTTAACCTTTTTTTTTTTTTTTTAAGATCTATTTATTTGAAAAATCAGAGTTAGAGAGAGAGAGAGAGAGAAACCCTTTATCTGCTTGTTCACTATTCAGATGGCAGCAATGGCCAGGCCTGAGTCAGGCTGAAGACAGGAACCAGCAGCTTCATCTGAATTTCACACATGGGTGGCAGGGGACCAAGTATTTGGGCCATCTTCTGCTGCTTTCTCAGGCACATTAGCAGGGATCTAGATCAGAAGAGGAGCCTGCAGCACCAGCATCCCATATAAACACCGGTTTGTGTCCCGACTGCTCCTCTTCCTATCCAGCTCTTTGCTTATGGCCTGGGAAAGCAATGGAAGATTGCCCAAGTGCTTGAGCTCCTGCACCACGTGGGAGACCCAGAAGAATCTCCTGGCTCCAAATTGGCTTAGCTCTGGCCGTTGCAGCCATTTGGCGAGTGAACCAGTGGATGGAAGACCTCTCTCTCTCTGTTTCTCCCTCTCTCTGTCTCTGTAACTCTGTCTCTCAAATAAATAATTAAAAAAGAAAAAAGAAATGGAGCATCTGGGACTTGAACTGGCACCTATGTGGGATGCTGGCACCACAGGTGGCAGCTTAACCCATTACACCACAATGCCAGTGGCTAAACTTATTTTTAATTCTAGACAAACTTTTTGAAGTAGCCTCCTACATGGACTCTTTGGAATTGTTCCCTTCTGGAACAGGGGTTCCATGTGATCAAAGATTTTTGTCTTTTCTGTTCAATGCCAAAACCTCATACCTTGAGCACTCAATAGCACATAACTGGTGTTTCATATGACAGTGAATGAATAATTGAAAGTTTTCTTTTCTTCTTTTAAGGGGAGGGACCACTGCAGCAAGCTCAAGAGCCATAGATCACCGAGATAGATTGCCTGGCTTGCATCTGTGCTCCAGTACTTACTAGGTCTTCTACTTTGGACAAATTACTTAAGTTCTCCGTGCCTTTTTCTCCACTCCTCTGCAAAAGTAAGCATTTAGGGGGAGGGGTTGAGGGCATGAGAATTAAATGAATTACTAGAATTAAGTAATTGGAACCGGTGCTATGGCACAGTGGGTAAAGCTACTACCTGCAGTGTCAGCATCCTGTATGGGTGCCAGTTCTAGTTTCAGCTGTTCCTATTCTGATCCAGCTCTCTGCTATGGCCTGGGAAAGCGGTAGAAGATGGCCCAAGTGTATGGGTCCCTGCACTTGCACAGGAGACCCAGAAGAAGCTCCTGGCCTTGGATTGGCCCAGCTCTGACCCTTGTGGCCATTTGGGGAGTGGACCAGTGAATGGTAGCTCTCTCTCTCTCTCTCTCTCTCTCTCTGCTTCTGCCTCGCTGTGACTCTGCCTTTCAAATCAATGAAATAAATTTTAAAAATTAAGTAATTTAGAATATTATCTACTACAAAGCAGATAGCCGATACCTTGACTAGGTAATACTCATAAATGTTAGGTATTATTTCGTGTTTATGGCTAATTCTCCTATTAAGTATATGATCATAACTTAAGAAAACACTTATTTGGGGCCGGCACCATGGCTTACTTGGTTAATCCTCTGCCTGCGGCGCCGGCATCCCATATGGGCACCAGGTTCTAGTCCTGGTTGCTCCTCTTCAAGTCCAAATCTCTGCTGTGACCTGGGAGTACAGTGGAGGATGGCCCAAGTGCTTGGGCCCCTGCTCCCGCATGGGAGACCAGGAGAAGCACCTGGCTCCTGGCTTCGGATCGGCGCAGCGCCAACTGTAGTGGCCATTTGGGTGAACCAACAGAAAAAAGAAGACCTTTCTCTCTGTCTCTCTCACTGTCTAACTCTGTCAAATAAAAATAAATAAATAAATAAAACTTGTTCAAGAAAATATTTTAAGTCAGTAATATGGGTTATACTTTTAAAGTTTTTGTTAGAGTTTTATTTTACTAACTCCATTCAGGTCTCCCATGTGGGTGATGGGGGCCCAAGCACTTAAGCCATCATTTCCTGCCTCCCAAGATACATTAGCAGGAAACTGGATGGAAGCCTTAACCTCCCCTTGGGGTATTTTTGCCTTTGCTTTTTAGGCAGAAAGCAAAGAGAACAAATGACTTGTAAATGTGATAACCAATATTACACTGGAATATTCAAAGTAAGGCAATATATCTGCATTTTCCTGTGACTGAATGGCTTTTAAACTATTTAAACGGGGGCTTACAACCTATAAATTTCACATATGCATGCAATATTACCTATAGAACCACTAACTTATTTTTGCGTTCTATTATGGCCTTTATTTATTTTTAAGGATTTTATTTATTTATTTGAGAAGTAGTGTTACAGATAGAGAGAGGGAGAGACAGAGAGAAAAGTTTTCCATCAGCTGATTCTCTTCCCAAATGGCCAAGGAGCGGGGCTGGGCCCATCTGGAGCCAGGAGCTTACCCCAGGTCACCCATGTGGGTTCAGGGACCGCAGCACTTGGGCCCTCTTCTTCTGCTTTCCCAGGCCAGAGCAGAGAAAGTAAGTTGAGCAGCAGGGACAGGAACTGGTAGCCAAATGGCATGTCCTGCAGCAGACAGAGGATTAGCCTACTATGCCACAGCGCTAGCCCCTCCATACCGCTTTTATAGTCTCTCTTGTTCATTAGTTTCTCAAGCAATGGAAGCTGAAACTACAAGCAGTTACCATAATCTCCTGAATTCTGGTATGATGGAAAGGGGGTTCTCATTTTTAAAAGCCGCTGCTTTAGGGGCTGGTAGTGGGTAAAGCCACCACCTGCAGTGCCAGCACCCCATATAGGCACCATTTCGAGTCCTGGCTGCTTCTCTTCTGATCCAGCTCTCTGCTATGGCCTGGGAAAGCAGTACAAGATGGCCCTGCACCCATGTGGGAGACCTGGAAGAAGCTCCTGGCTTCAGATCAGCTCAGCTCTGGCCCTTGTGGCCACTTAGGGAGTGAACCAGTGAATGGAAGACCTCTCTCTCTGCCTCTGCCTCTGTAACTCTGCCTTTCAAATAAATAAATAAACTTAAAAAAAAAAAACACTGCCTTAGGGGTTCCTAATATAGAAAGGAAGTCTAGTAATTTTATCCATAATACTCGTGTGTTGTAAATCTTGATCTCTTAATCAGATCCAAGGAAATGCACCTTCTTAGTTTACCTGTGACTGTGAAAACCAAAGCTCCACCTTTGGTTCAGGTGGGAGTGGCGATGAGGGTGCCTGTGGCAGGATAAACTACAACTCCCAGGATTCCTTGGTAAGAACTACAAGGAGTTGTGGTTTATTCCTTTCTAGGTCCCTCTGTCCCTCCCACCATCTCAACTCATACCCTGGGCTCCCGCTCTGGAAAATATGGCAGGTGGCAGTCTCACAAAAATTTCTTTCTCTCCTTATCATTTTTCTCATTTTAGCGCATCGCAATGGCACACCCGCAACTACTCAGGAGAAAGGTCGGGACGGGTGAGGAGCCGGAAGCAAGTGGTAATCCGGAAGTAGTGGATCAGGAAGTGACAGTGACCTAGAGCGTCTCGGGCTGCAATGTTTGGGTGCCACGGAAGGTTCCGACCTCAGTAAGGAAAGCTAACCTCCTTTCTTCTTTTTCTTAGGTACTTACAACTCTTTCCTGATCTGAAGAGGACTTTTTTCTTTACCCATTTGCCCTCCACTGCCGTGTTGCTTCCTTGTGTAATCGCTCCATATATACTGAGTTATAGAATGAATTGCACGTGCGGCTGGTGCGCCGGCTTAGCGTCGCTTCAGACGTAGCCACGATGAGAATTGTTCCTAAAATATCAGGGTAATACTGGTACTGTGATGGATGATGGAAAGTTTTTGGTGTTCTCAGATATAGATAACTCTAGAGAATAAACGTCTTGTTTTGTTTCTAAATGTTGGTGTTCATGACCTTGAAAAGTTATACCGCTGTTCCCAAGATGGAAATCTTATCTAGAAGTATTGTAACAAAAATCAGTTTGCATCCCTTTGTTCTGTCAGCTCTCAAATGGATACACTTGCCATGATGAGCTTGAGTCTAATTGTAAAGAACAAAGAAACTTTTGCTGGTGCGTTAACATTTGTAGCTGCTGGGCTTTGATGCTTTCTTCCACAGACCGTTTGCAAATGTGATTCAGTATGTTTAATCTGTCAGTAGAACCTTGAAAACTTTGGATATTATAGAGATCATTCTGAATGATAATACCCAGCAGATTTAGGGATCAAATGAACTAATATATGAGTGTATCTCCTTGCATAATAGGAAGATCGGAGACAGTAAGGGTTGATTCTAATAAATTTTGACCCTTGTTTCAACTTGAACTGCAGGATTTTAGGGACAATGTATTTTTCCTAGAACACCTTTTTTTCCCATTTATCAATAAAACTATTGTGTGCTTTTGTTAGCTCTTGATTATTTCTGTTGAAAGGGAAGAGAACAGATAATTATTACATTATCGCACACAACCAATACTGCCTAACCTGTAATTTTTAAAGTACCTTTTTAATTCTTTTTATGAAAGCAATATGTGCTGGGACTGGTGCTGTGATGCAGCAGGTTACAGCCCTGGCCTACAGTGCCGGCATCCCATATGGGTGCCAGTTCGAGTCCTGGCTGCTCCACTTCTGATTCGGCTCCCTGCTAATGTGCTTGGGAAAGCAGTGGAGGATGGCCCAAGTACTTGGACCCTGTGCCCATGTTGGGACCCAGAAGGAGCTCCTGGCTTCAGATTGGCTCAGCTCCAGCTGTTGTGGCCATGTGGGAAGTGAACCAGCAGATGGAAGATGTCTCTGTGTCTCTACTTCCCTCTGTAACTCTCTTTCAAATAAATCAAATAGATCTTAAAAAAAGGTAATACATGCTATCTCTGTAGATTTGGGAAAGTTGAAAAATATGAAGTAGGCAAAAGGTATCCCATTGCTAGAGAGCAATTTAACATTTGATATGTTCCTTTTTAGTTTTTTAAAACTACATACTTTTTAAGGATACATACCATATATTGTAGAACTTTTGAAAACACAATTGAGATTTTACTGTTTTACACTGTGTTTTGACTTAATATAATTTTCATCATTGTCCTTTTTCTTAAGACCGCCTTTCTTGGTCTACTAGTATTTGAAGTTTCCTTCCTTTAGGATCTTTAGGCTAAAAGGGAAGTACCTTTGAAAACTGGTTCCAGAACTGAGAAGGAAAAGCACTGAGCTTAAAACAGGCATTCTGCATTCTACTGCCAGGTCTGCCTTTATCCAGTGAGTGAATGGTTATGGTAAAGTTACCTACCTTCCTCAAACATATAGATACCCATGAAGAATTAGATAGTAGTCAATGTTTCCTTCGACCTTTAGAGCACTATGACTGTGAACCATGTAACGTTTGCAGGATTGCTTTGTAGCTTTCAAATGCTTATTTACACACTCTCCAGATTCGGCATGCTTTCTAGTATATAGCTGATTTAACCCAACCTATTGGTATATTTGCTAGTTTTACTCATTTGTCTTAATTAATTATATCTTTTGGGTGGATAGAAAGCAGTGCTTTTAAAAAATATTTATTTATTTGAAAGGCAGAGTGACAGAAAAGTAGAGCCAAGGAGAGAGACAGAAAGAGATGTTCCATCTCCTGGTCCACGTCCCAGATGGCTGCACAGCTGTGATGGGGCCAGGCATCTTCTTTTTGTGGGCTATTGAGTTTGGAAGTGGCCGAGGTGGTGAACTAAATAAGATTTTTTGAAGCTCCTTCCTGTTTTGTGATGCCATGTATCTTTAGAGTTGATTTTCTCAGACTGTACTTATTGTATTTCAGATGCTGAGATGAATCGTCACCTGTATGTTTGGCTTTTTAGACATCCATATGTTAGTGGTTTCTCCCAGTGTCACGTCCATCTCTATTCTCATCAATTTAGACAGAAACATCTGGATACAAAGCTGTGGGTTTTTAGACAAAACAGAACTCACATTCTCCATCAACTGTTAAAGAAAAATTGGTCGAGGAGATACTGTCATAGAGACACCCAAATACTTTCGAAACACAAAGCACTACAGAAATATATGGAGGACCTGCATAAGGAGTACCAAACACTTGATGAGTGTTTGCAGCGGATCTCTGTGAATGATGGAGGCCGAAAGTCCTTGACCCGAAGACATGCTGAGTTGGCACCGCTTGCAGCCATATACCAAGAAATACTGGAAGCACAACAAGCAATTGAAGAATTGGAATCAATGTGTAAAAGTAAGTAAAAGATATGTTTGTGTAATATAGGATTGCTTTTCTAAATTAAAGTTTAATCAGACTCAGTATTTTTAAAAGCCTCCAAGTAATAAGCTCAATACTTGGAAAGGACAGGATTGTGTTCTCAGGGTCTTTGAGATACTTCAGGTACTAAAGATCAGCTATTAAGTGACAGGCTTCTTATAGTACGTCCCAAGAAGTTCTCAGGGTCTGGGAGATTTGATATTAGCCTTTTTAGAAGCATTTGTTTATTCAACAGATCTTTATTGGATGCCGCTTTACATACCAGAGACAGAAATGTATGATTATCAAATTGGAGTAGATTTTTTAAAAAATATTTATTTGTTTATTTGAAAGCCAGAATGAGAGAGAGAGTGAGCAAGAGAGCACTTCCATCCACTGGGTCACTACCCAAATGGCTACAACAGCCAGGTCTGAACCAGGCCAAAGCAAAAAGCCAGGAACTCCATCCTGGTCTCCCACATGGAAGGCAGGGGCCCAGGCACGTGAGCCACCTTCTGCTGCCTTCCCGGGAGCATCAGCAGGAAGCTGGCGCAGAAGCAGAGCAGCCAGGACTCACACTGGCACTCTGATATGGGGTGCCGGTATCATAAGCTGCAGCACCACATGGGCCCTGGAGTAGATAATTTCTGAAGACTCTGCTAGCTGTACAGTTCTGCTTTTCTATGGTAATAATAACAGTTACACTTATTATATCATACTGTATGCCAAGCACTAAGCTAACTACATTACTTTGCAAATATTTTTGCATTTGAATGGTCAAAGTAACTATATATATATATTTTTTAAAGATTTATTTATTTTATTTGAAAGATTTACAGAGAGAGGAGAGAGAGAGAGAGGTCTTCCATCCACTGGTTCACTCCCCAATTGGCTGCAATGGCCAGAGCTGTACTGATCCGAAGCCAGGAACCAGGAGCTTCTTCTGGGTCTCCCATGTGGGTGCAGGGGCCCAAGGACTTGGGCCATCTTGTACTGCTTTCCCAGGCCATAGCAGAGAGCTGGATCGGAAGTGTAGCAGCGGGGACTCAAACCGCTACACCACAGCGCTGGCCCCTATTTGGGTTTAAATTTAATTACTGAATCCTTTTGAAATCTGTCTGATTAATTATTTGCTTTCTATAATTCTGAACATTCAAATCAGAGGCTTTGAGGAACAAGATCATACAGTTTTTACAATGAGCTTTTTAGACATACTTACCAAATACAGGGGCACTTCAAAAAGTTAATGGAATAACTGAATTAAAAGGTACATTTATTTTGTTGCAAAAAATTTTTGAAATCCAGGCACTGTTTTTCATTATACACATTTTCTGTGAACATTTTGAAGACTCCTATGCATTTGTTGCCTTCCCAACTGAAATAAAAATTAGTAGGCTTGAGGCCGGCGCCGCAGCTCAATAGGCTAATCCTCCGCCTTGCGGCGCCGGCACACTGGGTTCTAGTCCTGGTCGGGGCACCGGATTCTGTCCCGGTTGCCCCTCTTCCAGGCCAGCTCTCTGCTGTGGCCGGGAGTGCAGTGGAGGATGGCCCAAGTGCTTGGGCCCTGCACCCGCATGGGAGACCAGGAGAAGCACCTGGCTCATGCCATTGGATCAGCGTGGTGTACCGGCCGTGGCGGCCGTTGGAGGGTGAACCAACGGCAAAGGAAGACCTTTCTTTCTCTCTCTCTCTCTCTCACTGTCCACTCTGCCTGTCAAAAAAAAAAAAAAAAAGAAAAAGAAAAAGAAAAAAGAAAAAAATTAGTAGGCAACACTGAGTTGGCTGTTTAAGAGTTTCTCTGTAATCATTTAAAAACTTTACTCTTACTGATTTTTAGGTCTAAATACACAAGATGAAAAGCAGTTACAAGCGCTTGCACTGGAAGAAAGGCAAACAATTGATGAAAAACTCAACATGTTATACTCTGAGGTATGTTTTAGGAAATACACCAATCTGAACAGTGTTAAAATAAAGGAAAGCTGTTCTTGCTAGACTAACTTTGGTGCTTTCCAAATCTTGGCTTCTTAAGGGTTATTTATAATACGTGATTAAGTTGGATTTTGTACTGTGATTGGTTGCAGAATGAGACTGAAGATATTGTTCTTTCAAAGAATAAAAGACCACCCTCCCCTCCAAATCAAATTTCAAAGCTGAGTCTATTAATTTGCCTGGCAATTTACTTACATGCTAGTGAAAAAATTGATTGGACATAGAGAATAATCAACATATTTTAAGTATTAGAAGGGTTGGGGTATCTGGGTTCATGGTGATTTTGTTCATTAAGGATTGAAAATACACACTCTGGGTAGAATGGGTTGAAACCAGTGGTGCAGAGGCAGTTGGTTAACACAAGTCGTTAGCTTGTACTAGTAAGTGTCTGGCATACTGAGGTCTCTCAAGGTTCGTGATACTGCATCAGCCTAGTTGCTGTCTTCTAGAGGTCTAAGTGGGAAATTCTGGTGTCTTCTTTCTAGCTCAGTGGGCGATTTCTCTATAAAGACAATGAAGAGCACAGTACTGTATTATGTATTTCCCTCTGTCCTATTTGCCCTCCTTCTACCTTCAATATTCTTACTCTTGGTATCCAGGAGAAGGACTTTTTGAGGGGTTAGAGGGCTGAAGCAGAGATATCAATTATTTTTATCGTGAATTTAACCAGTTAAGCAAAGACAGAAATAAGATATATGACTCTTAGTCTAGTATTTTCTCCCACAGACGATATAATTTCTAGCAGAGATGGAATATTTCAGAAATTGGTAATAGGGGGAGCCATGTCATAAAGGTACTTGAAAAACCTTTTAGTAATAATGAAAATGATTCTCTTTTCTTCCCAAGAGGAAAAGCCTTTTAGTAATAATGAAAATGATTCCCTTTTCTTCCCAAGAGGAAAGTTGATTCCTTTGTTAGGAAGCTTTTTTTTTTTTTTTTTGACAGGCAGAGTTAGACAGTGAGAGAGTGAGAGAGACAGGTCTTCATTTTCCATTGGTTCACTCCCCAAATGGCTGCTACAGCTGGTGCGCCAATCTGAAGCCAGAAGCCAGGTGCTTCCTCCTGGTTTCCCATGCGGGTGCAGGGCCCAAGCACTTGGGCCATCCTCCACTGAAGGAAGCTTTTTTTAATTTTTTTTTTCTGGTCATGGTTGGAAACCTATTTGAACCTTTTTTGGAGTCTTGAACACAGTCTTTTAAAAATGAGGGGCTCTGCTGAGAAAGCACGGCTTGACGTGGTGCCTGCTTTCATGTGTGGCGGGGAGGATGTGCAGTCACATGGAAAAGTCTTCATCTTCTTCAAATGAAGTCTTTCAAAGCCTTGCTTCACTCAGATGAAAGAAGCTACTGTTCAAAACTAATTATAAGAGGCAGACACTCTGCACTTTGATCTAAACTTCTGCATTTTAGAAAATTAAGATATTCTGATAGTATTTTAGAAAATACCCTGAAAAATAACCTCATTGTTAATATGAATTCATAACCTAGTTTAGGCCTAATTAGATTTACTTATTATAGCATTTTAAGACTAATCTCACTGGGGTACTTACTATATGATTTTGTTCCTAACTAATTTTTAAAAATATTTTGAAAGCTTTCTCTTAAGTTGAAATAACAATAGTACACTGAAGAAAATGCATACATCAACATTGATTTTTTTTTTCTTTTCCAGCTTTTCCAGAATCTAGTGCCAAAGGAGAAATATGACAAAAATGATGTTATTTTAGAGGTGATATCTGGAAGAACTACTGGAGGTCAATCAAATAATTTTATCGTAAATGATCTAAAAATACTTGATTTTAAAAATTTTTTAAATTTTAAAGATTTATTTATTATTTATTTGAAAGGCAGAGTTACAGAGGCAGAGAGAGAAAGAGAGAGGTCTTCCATCCACTAGATGGCCAGATGGCTACAACTCCCCAGATGGCTGCAATGGCCGGAGCTGGGCTGATCCGAAGCCAGGAGCCTGGAGCTTCTTCCAGGTCTCCCATGTGAGTGCAGTGGCCCAAAGACTTGGGCCATTTTCCACTGCTTTCCCAGACTATAGCAGAGAACTGGATTGGAAGTGGAATAGCCGGGACTTGAACCGGTGCCCATATGGGATGCTGGCACTGCAGGTGGCTGCTTTACCTACTTTGCCACAGCACCAGCCTGCAAATACTCAATTTTTACCTTGATTTGATATCAGTGTGATTTTAAAAGTCCATCAGGTGTATATAACTTCAGATAATAGTTACTCCTCATTTCCTAAGGGGCCTGTATCTGAGGATGGTGCACTTAGAAATTTCTGCCAACTGAGTATTTTTTCTGTTTTCTTTTAGGTGATATCTGCCAACAGTTTACCCGAGAAATATTTGACATGTACCAAAACTATTCATGTTATAAACATTGGAAATTTGAACTTCTGAATTATACACCAGCAGAATATGGTAGGCATATATGTGGATTGTGTCCATAAAAGATGTTGAAAAGTATTTTACCTTTGATGTTGATTAAAACCATGTTGTGCCTTTTTTTTTTTAAAGATTTATTTATTTATTTGAAAGTTAGAGTTACACTGAGAGAGAAGGAGAGGCAGGGAGAGAGAGAGAGAGGTCTTCCATCCACTAGTTCACTCCCCAAATGGCCACAACGGCCAGAACTGCACCAATCCAAAGCCAGGAGCTTCTTCCAGGTCTCCTATGTGGGTGCAGGGGCCCAAGGACCTGGGCCATCTTCTACTGCTTTCCGAGGCCATAGCAGAGAGCTGGCTTAGAAGTGGAACAGCCAGTACTAGAACCGGCGCCCATATGGGATGCTGGCACTGCAGGTGGCAGCTTTACCTGCTACGCCACAGCGCCGAACCCAATGTTGTGCCATTTTTTTTTTAGAAAAAATTTACTTATTTATTTAAAGAATTTATTTCAGAGCCAGAGATCTTCCATCCACTGGTTCATTTCCCTAATGCCCTGCAACAGCTGGGACTTGGACAGACTGAAGCCAGGAGCCTAGAGCTCAATCCAGGTCTCCTACATAGGTGATAGGGACCCAGCTTCTTGAGCCATCTGCTGCCTAGGGTGCGTGTTAGCAGGAAGCTGGATCAGAAACAGAGCCAAGACTTGAACCCATGGATTCCAGTATGGGATCCAGTTGTCTTAACTACTGCATCAAATGCCCACCCAGAGTCTCGTTTTGTTTTGTTTTGTTTTTTCTTTGTTTGTTTTTGAGGCAGTGAGACAAACAGGCAGAACTCTCATCAACTAGTTCAATCCCCAAATGCCTGAAACAACCAAGGGTGTGTTACTCCAAACCTGGGAGCCAGAAGCTCAGTATATGTCTCCCACATGGGTTGCAGGAGCTGTTACTTGAGCCATCACCACTGCCTCCCAGAGTCTGCATCATTAGGAAGCTGGAGTCAAGAACAGAAGCTGGGTACTGAACTCTGGTACTCTGATACAGGACATGGGCCTTTAAACTGACATCTTCACTACTAGGCTAAACATCTGCCTCTGTTGTCCCATTTAAAAATATTTGGTCTGTATTTGCTAAACACTGTGACATAGGCTCAACAATCACAATGGTCTACTATAGTAGAGTTCTTAGCTAGGGGAAGAGAGTAAAAAAAAAAAAGGGTAGCATACTCCTAGGAAGGAATTAGAGAAAATTCTCTTTTGGAAGATAGATATTTATTTTGCCTTGAAAAGTATTGCGGGGCCAGCACTGTGGCATAAGGGGTAAAGCCACTGCCTGCAGAGCTGGCATCCCATATGGGCGCCAGTTCAAGTCCTGGCTGCTCCACTTCCAATCCAGCTCTCTGCTATGGCCTGGGAAAGTAATAGAAGATGGCCCAAGTTCTTGGGCCCCTGCACTTGGTTGGGAGACCTGGAGAAAGCTCCTGGCTTCCAGCTTCAGATCAGCACAGCTCTGGCCATTGTGGCCAATTGGGGAGTGAACTATCAGATGGAAGACTCTCTCTCTCTCTCTCTCTCTCTCTCTCTCTGCCTCTCATTCTCTCTCTGTGTAACTCTTTCAAATAGTAGAAGATGGCCCAAGTCCTTAGGCCCCTGCACCCATGTGGGAGACACAAGAGAAGCTCCTGGCTCCTGGCTTCAGATCGGTCTAGCTCTGGCTGTTGCAGCCATTTGGGGAGTGAACCAGTGGATAGAAAAACGTCTCTCTCTCTCTCTCTCTGCCTCTCTGTAACTCTGCCTTTCCAATAAATAAATAAATCTTAAAAAGAAAAAAAAATGTTGAACAAGCTTTGATTGAAAAGGTATAAAGAATTATTGAAGATTTTATGAATCTGAATATTATTTGCTACAATATTTTTTTTTACAGGCAGAGTTAGTGTGAGAGAGAGACAGAGAAAAAGGTCTTCCTTCCGTTGGTTCATCCCCCAAATGGCCACCACTGCCCGCTTGTTGCACTGATCCGAAGCCAGGAGCCAGGTGCTTCCTCCTGGTTTCCCATGCGGGTGCAGGGCCCAAGCACCTGGGCCATCCTCTGCTGCCCTCCCTGGCCACAGCAGAGAGCTGGACTGGAAGAGGAGCAACCGGAACAGAATCCGGCGCCCCTACCGGGACTAGAACCCTGGGTGCCAGCACCGCAGGCGGAGGATTAGTCAAGTGAGCTGCGGTGCCGGCCTGCTACAATATATTTTTTAGGAAGATTACTTTGACATCAGTATGAAGGATAGATTAAAGAGGCTAGATTTACGAGAGACTGCAAAGAGGTGGTTAGAACAATCCAGGCGTGACTAAGCATTCAGAGTAGGGATACATGTGAAAAAAACTTTCAAAGGATGAATGGGCAAAGTTTGATAACTAGATACCAACGGGGCTGTTGCTTGCTCAGTGTGTCCTATATATATCCTTATAACCTTGTGAAATGGATATTATTAATCTCATTTTACAGATCAGAATCTAGGCTCAGAGAGTAAGCAACTAATCTAAGTTCACACAATAAGTAATGGCAATCCTGGGATTAAACTGAAATCTGTTTAGTCCAGAGCTATACTACATCCCATTAACCTGTTATGGCACACGGGAGATGAGCCACAGGGATTCTGATCTTTCTAGCTGAGAGGATTGTGATATTCATTCATGAATGGAATGGAAGTGGGAATGTAGAGCCCATTTGGGAAGAATAATGATGGGTGTTTTTTGAATTATTAAGACTGAGGTTATATTGAGCATCCATTTAGGAATACTAAGTAAATTTTTATGTTGTATAACTAGAGCTTTTGTGAGAGAACAGAATTCAGGAGAGACTTGATAGCTATTAGCACAGAGGTAATATCTGATTTTGGGAGAGCGAGTGAATAGAAGAGGGAACATTTAGGGCACCAAGCCCTGGAGAATGGCCAAATTTAGAATGATAGAGCCGTTGATAAAGAAAAACGAGTCAGATAAGAATAAAAAGGATGAGGACAGTATATTTTTATGGAAGCAAAGGAGAGAATTTCAAGAATATAATCAACAATATTATAAAAGAGAGAATAGAGGAGAATGTCATTAGTGACTTCTGAAATATGTATTTGAATAGAATCTTCAAGAATAAAATAGGGCTGGAATTGTGGTGCATCAGCTTAAGCTGCTGGTATCCTATGGAAGTGCAAGTTCAAATCCCAGCTGCTCCGTTTCCAATCCAGCTCACTGCTAATGCACCTGGAAAGCAATAGATGATGGCCCAAGTACTTCCACCCATGTGGGAGACCTGCATGGAGTTCTAGGCTCCTGGCTACCTCCTGGACCAGGCCCCTCTGTTGCAGCCATTTGGTGATTGAACAAGCAGATGGAAGATAACTCTCTCTCTCCATCTCTGTCACTCTGGCTTTCAAATATTTTTCTTTTAAAAAGAAGGAATAAAAGGGTCATGAGCTTAATAACAGGAAGAAAGATTGTGTTCTAGGTTTGTAGAACAGCATAAACAATAGTAGAGAGACTTTCAGATACACTGGTTCACTAGCAAAATAAAATAATATTTTAAAAAGTGAAAGTAAGATTTTTTTTAAAAAGATTTATTTTATTTATTTGAAAGGCAGAGTTACACAGGAAGAGTTCTTCCATCCTCTGATTCATTTCCCAAATGCTACAACAGCTAGGACTGGGCCAGGCCTAAACCAGGAGCTTCATCCAGGTTTCCCAAGACTTGGAGCCATCTTCTTTCTGCTGCTTTCCCAGGCAAATGAGCAGGGTGCTAGATCAGAAGTGTAGTAGTCGGAACTTCAGCGCCCTATGGTATGCCAGCATTGCAGGAGGCGACTTAACATGCTGAGTCACAATGCTGGCCCAAAAATTATTTTTTAAAAAGAGGCCTTTAAAATATTTCACTTGATTGCCTTTAAAATGAAAGACTAAGCATAAACATCTCTCATTGAAATTATAAAACAACTTTTTTTTTTAAAGATTTATTTTATTTATTTGAAATACAGAGTTACAGAGAGAGGTAGAGACAGAGAGAGAGAGAGGTCTTCTATCTGCTGGTTCACTCCCCAGATGGCTGCAACAGTTGGAGCTGCGCCGATCCAAAGCCAGGAGTCAGGAGCTTCTTCTGGGTCTCCCACATGGGTGCAGGGGCATTTGGGCCATCTTGTACTGCTTTCCCAGGCCACAGCAGAGAGCTGGATCGAAGAGGAGCAGCCGGGACTAGAACCTGCCCCCATATGGGATGCCGGCGTTTCAGGCCAGTGCTTTTTTTTTTTACAGGCAGAGTTAGAGACAGTGAGAGAGAGAGACAGAGAGAAAGGTCTTCCTTCCGTTGGTTCACCCCCGAAATGGCCGCCATGGCCAGCGCGCTGCGCTGATCCGAAGCCAGGAGCCAGGTGCTTCCTCCTGGTCTCCCATGTGGGTGCAGGGCCCAAGCACTTGGGCCATCCTCCACTGCCTTCCCAGGCCACAGCAGAGAGCTGGACTGGAAGAGGAGCAACCAGGAAAGAACCGGCACCCCAACCGGGACTAGAACCCTGGGTGCCAGCACCGCAGGTGGAGGATTAGCCTAGTGAACCGCGGCGCTGGCCCAGGCCAATGCTTTAACCCACTGCGCCACAGCGCTGGCCCACAACTTGTAAAATATTGATTTTTTTGGCTATTACTAATTAGGAGAAGAAAACCATGTTGCTAAGTAAAGACTGAAATAGAAAAAAGGAAAAAAATCTCTACCTTAGGTATTTACATATATATTATTTTTTTCATTTTAATAGTAGTTGCAATAGAGAAGAAATTACAGGTATCCACAGAAAATCACACAGCACTAAAAGCTGAGGCTTACTTGCATGCAAAAATTCATCTATGACACAACTTTTAGTCTTGTAGTTTTGTGATTAAGGAACAGAGACAATACTCAGCCATTATGTAAACAGTCCGAACTAAATGATTACAAGAAACTCTTTGTGGAATCAGTGGAGGGTTTTGGCTCTTAATAAATAGTATATATCTGATACAATTATTCTGTAAACCTGTTATCTAATGATTGAAATATTTTCGGAGTTAAAGAGATTCCTTGGGGCTGGGGCTGTGGTGCAGCGGAATAACGCCCTGGCCTGAAGCTCTGGCATCCCATATGGGCACCGGTTCGAGACCTGGCTGCTCCTCTTCTGATCCGGCTCTCTGCTATGGCCTGGAAAAGCAGTAAAAGATGGCCCAAGTTCTTGGGCCCTTGCATTCGCGTGGGAGACCTGGCTCCTGGCTTTGGATTGACACAGCACTGGCTGTTGCGGCCAACTGGGGAGTAAACCATCGGATGTAAGACCTTTCTCTCTGCCTCTCCTCTCTTTGTGTAACTCTGACTTTCAAATAAATAAATTAAATCCTAAAAAAAAAAAAAAAAAAAAAAAAAAAAAAGAGTTCAAAAAAAAAAAAAAAAAGAGAGAGATTCTATGGAATCTGTTGCATTGTCTCCCCATTCCCAACAGAGATGGTTATAATTGTGTTTTGTTATTCTCTACCCAGCAGTTGAATTCAAGAGGTCACTTAAATTAAGTCAGTTGATTCAGGGTGATGGTTAATTTTATATGTCCAGAAGTCATACCTTTTACCCTGACTGTGAAGAGTAAATTGAGGGGAGCTCCTAACATTATTATAGAGCTCAATGGTCACTCTTCTAAAGGTCAGAGCTTATAGTGAATGGGAAAACCTAAGAGCAATGAGAGTAATTGGATCCCAGGATGGCAGCACTCAACTGCCAAAGTGAGAGGTACACTGTTGCTGTGTTGGACATCAGAGTCAACGCAGCAATCACAATAGTCTGACTTTTGCAAACTTACAATGTTGATCGTGGTATTGCTAGAAGTAAAATATATAGAAAATCTCCTAATTTCTTATTTGATCTGATAAGAGAAAAGTTCTAGGTCAAGTGAACGAAAGTCAAACCTAAGTCATAAGATCAGAGCCACTGCCTCTCAGTTCCCAGACTTGAGCCTGTTTACAAACCCAAAACCCCTTGAATGAAGGGGGAGATGAGTCTCTTGAAGAAAGACTGTGGTACACTGCCAAAAAGCACTTTATACTACTAATCTTTCTTCCAGCCTCCCCAAAGGGACATATGGCATTGTAGCATAGCAATGAAATTATTTCCTGGGGAAAAAGGAAATCAAATTTTTTTAGGTAATAAAATTATAGTAAGGAAAAAAATAAAAGTCAACATAATGATTATTCATGGGGAAGGGAGGAATTATGACTGGAAAGGGCACTATGGGAGGGTTTATGGGGTGGGCAAATTTCTTTATTTTGACCAGAGTGGTTATCACGAAATCATGTTTGATTCTTATGATTTTCTCTATCTGTATATTATTGTATCATTCAAAAAGTTTGTTTGAAACATATTACCTAAGAAAAAGGTAACATAGGCATTAAGAATTTTCAGTGATAATCATTCTATTCCAGTTAAGCAAGAGCTAACTTTCAACAAATTCTTGAAAACTTCGAAGAACCTATAGAAGTATTCAATGTTATGACAGTATTGTGTTTTTGAGCATTTTTTTTAAATATGGCCCAAGATTGCACAGGGTGGTTCAATGCAGAAAAGGACCTAGTGTTTTTTTTTCTTGACTATAATAGAACTTGTTCATTATAGAAAATTTATTTTTTATTTTTTAATTTTTAAAAGATTTATTTATTTTACTTGAAAGAGTTACACAAAGAAGCAGAGGGAGAGAGAGAGAGAGGTCTTTCATCCACTGGTTCACTCCCCAATCGGCTGCAATGGCTGGAGCTGCGCTGATCCTAAGGCAGGAGCCAGGAGCTTCTTCCGGGTCTCCCACATGGGTGCAGGGCCCTAAGGACTTTCCCAGGCCATAGCAGAGAGCTGGATCAGAAGTGGAGCAGCCAGGACTTGAACTGGTGCCCATATGGGATGCTGTCACTGCAGGTGGCGGCTTTACCCACTACACCGCAGTGCCAACCCCTCATTATAGGAAATTTAGAACCAAACAGACAACAACAACATAAAAAGAAAGAAAGTAACATTTAAAAAAATCTGTTATTCTTGGATCAGCGCTGTGGTATAGTGGGTTAATTCACTGTCTGCACCACTGGCATCCCATATGGGGACTGGTTGAAATCCTGGCTGCTCCACTTCCAATCCAGGTCCCTGCTAATGCAGCTGGGAAAGCAACGGAAATGGCTCAAGTGCTTGGCCCCTGCATCCATGTGGGAGACCTGGAGGAAGCTCCTGGCTCCTGGCTTTGGCCTGGCCCAGGCCTGGCTATTATGGCCATTTGGGGAGTGAGCCAGTGGATGGAAGATCTCTCTCTCTCTCTCTCTCTCTCTCTCTCTCTCTCTGTGTGTGTGTCTTTGTCTCTTCCTCTTTCTCCTCTGTAACTCTGACATTCAAATAAATAAATCTTTAAAAAAAAAAAAAACAACTGTTATTCTATTCCACAGAGATAACCAGAACTAGTATTTTGTTATGTTTTCTTTTACATATTGATTCATGAACATTTGGATAATGTAGTTTTGTATCTCAGGCTATCTCACTTTCAGGCTTTAGGTTAGAGACATTTAGGATTTCAATCCCTCTGGAAGTAGAATTCATTACTGTTTCTGGATTTTTTCCCTAGGTGGACTACATCATGCAGCCGCTCGAATTTCTGGTGACAGTGTCTATAAGCATTTGAAGTATGAAGGTGGGATTCACCGAGTTCAGCGAATCCCTGAGGTGGGCCTGTCATCAAGGATGCAGCGTATTCACACAGGGACCATGTCCGTCATCGTCCTTCCTCAACCGGATGAGGTAACTACAACGACGCCTTGAAATCTCCCTCTATGAAAATGGGTATTGTGCTGAGACAACTTACCTCCTAGAAAAATCTGCTGTTGTTTTTTATGATCACAGATTAGATTTTTATTATTATTACTATTCTTTCTTTAATTGAGAGATAGAAATAGAGGGAGAGACAGAGAGAAAGGTCTTTCATCTGCTGGCCCTCTACCCAAATGGTCACAAAAGTTGGAGCTGGGCCAAACCGAAGCCAGGAGCCAGGAACTTCTTCCAGGTCTCTGATGTGGATGTAGGGGCCCAACCACTTGGGCCATCTTCCACTGCTTTCCCAGGTATAGCAGAGAGCTGGATTTTAAGAGGAGTATCTAGGACATGAACTGGTGCCCAAATGGGATGCTGGCACCACAGGCGGAGGCCTAGCCCACTCCTCCACAGTGCCAGCCTCTGTGGTTACACATTTAATTCAAGAATAGATTATAGGTGCAGTCATAGTCATATTGCATCTTATCAGAAAGCATGTATGCCAGATTGTCCCACTTTTAGTGAGGTTTAGTTTGATCATTTAATTAAGATGGAAACTACACAATTATCTCCATTGTAAAAGTATATTTTTTCCTTGGTAATTACTGAGTATTCTCTAGGGTACATATATCCTATTCCCAACCACCTCTCATTCATAGTTTCTATTTGTGTCATTCAAAAATTTATTGACATTCTACTGCCTTCTCTTTCCTACCTCCTTCTGCCTACTTTCTTTGTCTTTTGCTGGATCTCAGTGTAAACTGATGAATCAAGTTTTATGTACTGATCTTGAGATTCAGATTAATGTTATAATTCAGTGTGCTGTAATCATTATTCTTGCTGACATTCAAATAATTCCAAATTTGACTCTTAGTAGGCTTTTTAGTGTAACCCTTTTGTCCTCTTGAAATGACCCCATTACTCTTTGAATCTTGATTTTTTGGTTCAATTAGTTTCTCAGGTCATCTTGTACTATCTTGTCTCAAATCTGGAGTCAGTCAGGTCTTTATGGTGTGGGACATACACAGAAATCAAGATTTGGGTAGATATGCTCCTATTACTGGAGTATCCATTCTTTTTTTTCCCTGATTTTTGATTTATTCATTTGAAAGAGTTACAGAAAGAGAGGGAGAAAGAGAGAGAGAGAGAGAGAGAGAGAGAGAGAGAGAGATCTTCCATCTACTAGTTCCTTCCCCAGATGGCCACTACAGCCTGGGCTGAGCCAGCCAAAGCTAGGAGCCAAGAGCTTCTTCCAGATCTCCCGTGTGGGTGGCAGGGGCCCAAGTACTTGGGCCATTTTCCATTGCTTTTCCTAGGCCTTTAGCAGGAGCTGGATTGGAAGTGGAGCATCTGGGACTTGAACCGGTGCCCAACTGGGATGCCAGCATGCAGGTGGTAGGTAGCTTTATGGGCTGTACCAGTATGCCAGCCCTGGGGTATCCATTCTTACAGACTCAGTGAACAGAGCTTGGAAATACATATTTTTAAATCACTGCTTCATATTATTATTATTATTACCAGTTCAAATATAACATAGGCTTCTTCCCCCCCAACTGCTTGTATTTTTTATTTATATTTCTTTTCAATTAGAGTAAAAAGTCTTTCTTTTCTTTATCTTTTAAAGATTCGTTTTTATTTATTTGAAAGGCAGAGTGACAGAGAGAGAAAGGGAGAGACATTGAGAGAGAGAGACCTTATATCTGCTGGTTCACTCCCCAGATGGTTGCAATGATGTGCGTGCACACACACACGCACACAGACACAGTTTGAGAATAAGTTTTACAGTTAATTCTTATAATACAACTCATTGAGGACAGAGGTCATGCATGGGAAGTTAGTGCACAGTGACTCCTGTTGTTAATTTAACAATTAACACTCTTATGTATGATGTCAGTGATTACCCGAGGCTCTTGACATGAGCTGTCAAGGCTATGGAAGCCTTTTGAATCCACAATCTCCATCAGTATTTAGAATAGGCTATAAGCAAAATGGAAGTTCTTTCCTCCCTTCAGAGAAAAGTACGTCCTTCTTTGAGGGCCACTTCTTTCCTCTGGGGTCTCACTTACAGAAATACGTTACTTAACGCATTTTTTTGCCATAGTGGTTTGGCTTTCCATGCCTGAAATTCTCTCATGGGCTTTTCAGCCAGACCAGAATGCCTTAAGGGCTGATTCTGAAGTCAGAGTGCAATTGAAAGTGATTGTTATTCTATGAGTCAGCTGTGTGGATTGCTTCCCTTGTTGGAATATTCTCTCCTTTTAAATTCTATCTATTATTATTGCCAGACACTTGATCTATTTATGTAATCCCTTTAATACTTAATCCTATCTATATGTTCACTTTAACACTTAATGTGATCAATTTAACACTTAAGATGGTATTTATATTACCCAGCTTAATAGGATTTGTGGTCCCGTGACAAGCTTTTAAACTGTACCCTTAGAAGTAAGTCCATAATAATGTATGTAGAACTGTACAGCTTTACAGTTACAAACTTCCTCCTCCCTCTCTTACTTCCACTCTTATTTTTTTGAGATCTATTTTCAGTTGATTTTATACACATATGATTAACTCTGTGTTAAGTAAAGAGTTCAACAGAGAGTATCAAGAAGAAAAAAAAACACCTGTTCCTCTACAGTTAAGACAAGGGCTGTTTAAGTCATTGCTTTTTTTTTTTTTTGACAGGCAGAGTGGACAGTGAGAGAGCAGTTAGAGAGAGAGACAGAGAGAGAGGTCTTCCTTTTGCCGTTGGTTCACCCTCCAATGGCCGCTGCGGCCGGCGCACCACACTGATCCGAAGCCAGGAGCCAGGTGCTTCTCCTGGTCTCCCATGCGGGTGCAGGGCCCAAGCTCTTGGGCCATCCTCCACTGCACTCCCTGTCCACAGCAGAGAGCTGGCCTGGAAGAGGGGCAACTGGGACAAAATCCAGCGCCCTGACCAGGACTAGAACCCGGTGTGCTGGCACTGCAAGGCGGAGGATTAGCCTAGTGAGCCACGGCACTGGCCATGCTTTTCAAAGTGTCAATTTCACTACTACAGATTTCTTTTTAGGTGCTCTATTAATTATCACAGATCAGAGAGAACATATGGTATTTGTCCCTTTGTGACTGGCCTATTTCACTAAGTATGTACATTGGTATATATAATTACTTAATATACTGTACCCACAAGAAAATGGAAGTTCCTCTTAATCTTGTTAAGTGTTAATTGAAATTTTAAGGTAGCCAACACAAGTATATTTTAACAAAAGTTGTATAATCTGTTTCTCCATTGTATATTAGTCATTTTAGAGGAAACCTACAAAAGAACAACCAACTAAGTGGTATATGACGGTGTTTAAAAAAATTCATGGAAAATGAAATGAAAATATGTTGATTTTGGTACATAAAAATTTTGAAATTCATGCATAGTTTTTCATGATACATTATGAACTTTTTGAAGATCCCTCTAAGAATACTGAACCATTTAGGAGCAGTGGTTTAGTATTTGCTACGTCAATGTTAGGAGTAATGGTTCAGTATTTAGTAAATCAATGTTTATAGATACACATACACATATCTCACATAGATTATAATCTTGTTTCATATCACAAAAATAACCCTTCCTGGTAGATGGGTTTGTTTACAAAAGAGAAAATGAAGCTCAGAAGTATCAAGTAACTTGCCTCAGGCTGCCCCACAGATACCAGTTGGGATTCAAACCCCATTCAACTGGCCCCATAGATGGAGCTTCTTTTTTACTTTATATTTATTTTCATTTATTTGAAAGGGAAAAAGAGAGAAAGAAAGGGACAGAGAGATATTTTTCTAACCAGTAGTTCACTCCCCACATGGTCCCAGCAGTTAGGGCTAGGCCAGGCCAAAGCCTGGAGCCTGGAATTCAATCTGAATCTCCCAGGTGAGTGATAGGGACTCAAATACTTGAGCCATCACCTGTTGCCTCTCAGGGTGTGCATTGACAGGAGCCCAGAACTAGAAGCAGAGCTGGGACTCATTCCCAGACAGGTGCTGGAATCCTTAGCAGCATCCTAACCATCACTTCAAACACCCACTGCGAGCTGGGGTATCTTCAACTACATGGTCCTGTCCTTTACATCTCTATTCCTTGGTCACCTCTGTAAGTGGGCTGAAACAGAAAGGCGGAATGTCACCTTGTCCAATTTCAGCTAGGAATGTACCAATGTAGAGCAACTCAAATTTCTCAATGTTCTGCAAGTGACAGTCAAAATGCCATAGATACTGGTTTAAGACATTCAAATAAATTTCATGAGTAGGCAAACTTGCAAATAGTGGTTCCAGAAACAGTAAGAATCAACAGTAATAAACATACATACTCTCTGATGTATTTTTTAATATAGTTTGTATGTTATATTTAATCTAACTGTGGGATAGTGAATGATGAACCTTATGAAAGATTACTTAACCCAATGGTCTCATAATCCTACAGGAATAGAGGTTATAGTTCTTTCTTTAGTGTTCGTTCTCTCTCCTCTTTGGCAGTTGATTTGAAAGAGTTTGGGCTGAATTTAGTATTAATGTATTCATGGAGTGCAGAATTTACTTATGCTGCGCCTTTTGTTCTAGGTAGATGTGAAAGTGGATCCCAAAGATTTGCGAATAGATACATTTAGAGCCAAAGGAGCAGGAGGGCAGCATGTTAATACAACAGACAGTGCTGTCAGACTTGTCCATATCCCCACAGGTAAGGAAGTCCCTTTGCATTTGTACTTTCTTTCTTTTTTTTTTTTTTTAAGATTTATTTATTCATTTGAAAGGCAGAGTTACACTGAGGCAGAAATAAAGGCAGAGAGAGAGAGAGGTCTTCCATCCACTGGCTCATTCCCCAAATGGCTGCAACAACTGGAGCTAGGCTGATCAGAAGCAGGAGTTAGGTGCTTATTTTTAATATGCATTTTTGGCTCTTTTTTTAAAGATTTATTTTATTTATTTGAAATACAGAGTTACAGAGAGAGGTAGAAACAGAGAGAAAGGACTTCCATCCACTGGTTCACTCCCCAGATGGCTGCAACAGCTGGAGCTGCACCGATCTGAAGCCAGGAGCCAGGAGCTTCTTCCTGGTCTCCCACGAAAGTGCAGAGGCCCAAGGTCTTGGGCCATCCTCCGCTGCTTTCCCAGGCTGTAGCAGAGAGCTGGACTGGAAGAGGATCAGCCAGGACTAGAACTGGCGCCCATATGGGATGCCAAAGCTTCAGGCCAAGGCGTTAACCCACTGCACCACAGCACCTGCCCCTAAAATATGCATTTTTAAAATTTATTTATTCACTTCACATACAGACAGACATAGAAAACTCTCATCCACTGGTTCAGCCTTGAAATGCCTGCAATGGCTGGAACGTGGCCAGATCAAAAGAAGAGCCGGAGGGCCAGTGTGGTGGCATAGCAGGTTAAGCTGCTGCCTGCAGTGCCAGCATTCCACAGAGGTGCCGGTTAGGGTCCTGGCTGTTCCACTTCTGATCCAATTTCCTGTTGCACCTGGGAGGGCAGTGGAGGATGGCCCGGGTGCTTGGACCCTTGCCACCCACATAGGAGACCCAGAAGAAACTTCTGGCTCCTGACTTCTACCTGGTCCAGCCCTTGCCATTGCGGCAATTTGGGAAGCGGACCAGCGGATAGAAGACCTCTCTCTCTCTCACTCGCACTCTCACTCTCACTCTGACTCTCACTCTGTCTTTCCTTCTTTATCTGTAACTCTGCCTTTCAAGTAAATAAAAAAAGCAAAAGACAACTTAGGGAGTGGGGCTACTTTCATTATATAATGATTAGAGTAGAGAAAATTATTAGAAAACTGAGTAACAAGTAAATAAAAAAATTTAAAAATATAAAAAAAGTGGAAAAGCCAGGAACTCAATCCAGGTCTCACACAAAAGTGGGAGGGACCCACCATTTGAGCCATCACATTAGCAGGAATCTGGAATTTGGAACAGAGCAGGACTTAAACCTAGGCACTCCAGTATGGGATATAGGCCTCCTAACTGGCATCTTAAGTGCTGTGCCAAAGGCCCATCCATTGCTTTTATACTTTTTTTCATGTCTTATAAAACCATTTAGCATTTGAAAGGAAATAGTCCTATGGTAGTGTGTGGTTCCTTACACAAAGCACTAAAGGTTGTCACTGGGATTGTTGATCTGAGGTCCCTGTTGTGTTCACATTCTCCTTCGATTAGGATGGGTATCTCTCACAGAGTATGCAGATGGTGGCCAGACCGATTCAGAGAAGCTGCCTTGGTCATGCTGAACAGGAGTGAGTGTCCAGAATTGCTCTAGCCTAAGTACAAGTGAAACACAGAACCAGTATTGGATATGTCACTGCTAGGGATCTTTTGTTGCCTTATGCATTAACTGCTAGCTGAATGTTGGTAATTTTGATTTACCACGAAATAGATCTGTAGTCCTTTAATGTAATTTAAAATATTTCTATCATTTTTAGATTACAAAAAAAAATCTTTTTTGCTTTTTCTTTCCTTTTTCATGTTACATGCATATGCCTTTAAAAGCACAATGGTAAAGTCCTGTGTCAACAAACAGAAGCTCCTTGAACATTTTACCTCTCCCCCACTCATCTTCCTCCTACTTAAATTCCTATTTCCTAGAGACAACAATTTTAAATTCTTTTAGCTATTTTTCTGATAATTTCTGATAATTATTTCTAAATAATAGGCAAATAGTGCTCTTCTGATTAAGTAATTATAGAGATTACATATTAACTTCTTAATATGGTAGGTGAATATTTTGGTTCTCTTTTCCTCTTTTAAATATTTGTATTTTGGCAAAACTAATCTTTACTGTTTTTGTATAATGAACAGGTAAATAGCATTTGCTGCTTATCCAAGTAGTACTCTATGAGTTCATTTGGTAGAATCAATTAGGAATATACTTCAATATATACAGCGTTCCAACAGCTAAGATCATACTGAGTGGGGAAAACTGAGTTTTTCTAAGATCTGAAATAAGACATGGATGCTTACTTTCTTTTTTTTTTTAAGATTTATTTATTTATTTGAAAGAAGGAGTTACACAGAGAGAGAAGAGGCAGAGAGAGTTCTTCTATCCGATGGTTTACTCCCCAGATGGCTGCAACAGCTGTATCAGAAATGGAGTAGCGAGGTCTTGAACCGGCACCCACATGGGGTGCCGGCACTGCAAGCTGCAGCTTTACGTGCTGTGCTACAGCATCAGCCCCTACAGATAACTCTTTAATATCCTGATTTCTTTTGCTTTGGGTAAATTCCCAGGAGGGAGATGGCTGGATATATGGTAGGTCTATATTCAGATTTCTGAGGTATCTCCATAGTATCTTCCACAGTGGCTGAACCCACCAACAGTGGATTAGGATACCTTTTCCCCCACATCCTCACCAGCATTTGTTGTTTGTTGATTTGGGTATGAGAGCCATTCTAACTGGGATGAGGTAAAACCTCATTGTGGTTTTGATTTGCATTTCCCTGATGGCTAGTGATCCTGAGCATTTTTTTCAAGTGTCTTGGCCATTTGGTTTTCTTCTCTTGAAAACAGCCTGTTCAAGTCCTTTGCCCATTTCTTAACTGGATTGTTTGTTTTGTTGTTGGTGAATTTCTTGAGCTCTTTATAGATTCTGGAAATTAACCCTTTATCAGTTGTGTGGTTTGCAGATATTTTCTTCCATTCTGTCAACTGTTTATTCACTTTGCTTAGTGTTTCTTTTGCAGTGCAAAAACTTCTCAGCTTAATGTAATCCCATTTGTCAATTTTAGCTTTGATTGCCTATGCTTCTGGGGTCTCTTCCAAGAAATCTTTCCCTATGCCAATGTCTTGCAGAGTTTCCCCATTGTTCTTTAGTAATTTGATGGTTTCAGGTCTTAGATTTAGTTCTTTTATCCATCTTGAGAGGATTTTTGTATAAAGTATATTTATTTTTTTAAATTTTTTTAAGGTTTGTTTAAACCAATTAATTTATTTTTAAAATCTTTCCCAGCATCCTTTTTATTTTTTTAAGATTTATTTATTTGAAAGACAGAGTTAGAGAGAGAGGTAGAGCCAGAAAGAGAAGTCTTCCATCTGCTGCCTCACTCCCCAAATGACTGAAATGGCCAGAGTTGAGCTGATCCAAAGCCAGGAGCTTCCTCTGGGTCTCCCATGTGAGTCAGGGGCCCAAGGACCTGGGCCATCTTCCATTGCTTTCCCAGGCCATAACAGAGAGCTGCATCAGAAGTGGAGCAGCAGGGACTTGAACCGGTGCCCATATGTGGAGCCAGCACTGCAAGTTGGGGCTTAAACTCATTGCGCCACAGTGCCGGCCCCAAAACCAATTTCAACTTTACTCAATGTGTTCATGTATTGAGATATCATATGGTATTCTTTAAGTATGTGTATTTTTTCCCTGTCAGTTAAAACGTGAACTAAGGAGGGAGAGTCGGAGCTCAGGGAATGAAAATATAGGTTGAGTATCTTTTATCTGAAATGCTTAGGACTAGGAGTATTTCAAATTTTGGAGTTTGAAGATTTAGCAATATTTATATAGACTTTACTGGTTGAGTATCCCTAATCTAAAAATCTGAAGTGCTCCAATACTCTTTAAGTGTTATATCAGTGCTCAAAGAGTTTAGGATTTTGAGTGTTGGGTTTTCAGAATAGGACTGCTCAACCTGTGTGTAACCATCTGCTCTGTCTTCTCAACCAGAATTTAAATAGCCATCTACAGCTTTGATCATCAAAACCCAGGCACAGGTCCTGAGGTATGCTGGGTATGCTGAATCTAAGATTTTTGTATGTTTTGTGATCTTTTCCTGGTTAGCCTTTCCTTTTCAATGTTCTTCCGATCTATCTTAATTTGGACTGTGGAGACTATAGTTAATCTCTGATCCTTCTTATTTTTCAGGACTAGTAGTAGAATGCCAACAAGAACGCTCACAGATAAAAAATAAGGAAATAGCTTTGCATGTGTTGAGAGCTAGACTCTATCAGCAGATTATTGAGAAAGACAAGTGTCAACAACAAAGTGCTAGAAAACTGCAGGTAAGATTCATTTCCTGTAATCGTTTAGTAACTCTGGATAAAAAATCATTATTTTATGTAGGAGATGTAATGTTTGTTCTTGATCAAATTGAAATGTCTTAGAGCATAGGGAAATGTACTCATTTTTATGTAAGCAATAACTTATAAGCATGTATATTGACAAATTATGGCTAAATTGGGCATGCCAGTTTGCAAATGAGTGGGTGAAAGATGTAGAAATTAAACATGAATTCCTAGGTATTTCCTATCAGTGTTTATATCATAATTGTCATAAAAGACAAAAATTCTTTGGAAGTTGACATTTTCAGATTTTTTAATTTAAAAACCTATGTTGTTTTTCTTTTTATAAAAATGTTATCTTTATTTGAAAAGCAAAGAGAGGATATGAGAGAGAGAGAGCAGTGGAAGAACTCTATCCTGGGTCTCCCACATGGGCAGTAGAGGCCCTAGTACTTGAGCCATCTTCTGCTGCCCTCCCAGGTACTGTAGCAGGGAGCTAGATCAGAAGTAGAGTAACCAGGATGTAAACCAGTACCCTGATATGAGATGCTGGCATTGCAGACAGTGGTTTAACTCGTGCCACAATGCCAGTCCCAATATATTTGGAGTTTGGAGTATCAAAGAAACATCCACTTTAATTCCATAACTAAATGCTACAAACCTATAGTCTTAAACATGAAGCTCTGCTCATGCTTCTTTGTTAGTTTATATATATGACTATAAGAAAATACTTAAACTGGTAACAGGAAATCTACTTTTAAGTAGATTCATTTGTAATGAAGGTTATTATAAACTTAAAATATGAATTGCTTTTGCTGTGGTGCAGGTGGGAACCAGAGCCCAGTCAGAGAGAATTCGGACATATAATTTCACCCAGGATAGAGTCACTGACCACAGGATATCATATGAAGTTCGTGACATTAAGGTAATATTTACTGAATATTCTTCATATATCCTTAATTTTCAAAGACAGTATAGTCAAATTCTAGAGAGTTATATGTAAAATATTACCAATTTAAAATCATTAAGCCAGTTTATATTAGTACCCTAAAATTTACAAACATGTTTGTTTGCAGATAAGAAATAAGATCTTTATGCCAGTCTGAAACAGCCATCTTTTTAAGTTCCAAATTCTTTTTATTCAGTCATAATGTGTTAGCATATATTCAATATACATATACAAAAGGGCATCAAATGTGGAAAAGGGCATCAAAATGTGGCATTGTGTTGCAGTGGCTTGCCTCACCATCTGAGGCACCGGCATCCCATTTGGGAGTGCTAGTTGAAGTCCCAGCTGCTCCCCTTCTAGTCCAGCTTCCTGCTAATGATAGCCCAAGTACTTGCATCTTTGCTACCCACGTGAGTAACCCAGATGGAGTTCCTGGCTGCTGGTTTTAGCCTGATACACACCTGGCTATTGTGCCCATTTGGAGAGTGAGCCAGCAAATGGACAATTTATGCTCTCCCCCTGTCATTCTGGCACTGTGGTGTAGCTGGTGCCAGTTTGAGTCCTGGCTGCTCCACTTATTATTTTTTTAAACTGTTCACATGACTTTTTTTTTTTTTTTTTTAGATTTACTTCTTTATTTGAAAGTCAGAGTTACATAGAGAGAGAAAGAGAGGCAGAGAGAGAATCTTCCATCTGCTAGTTCACTCCCCAACTGGCCACAATGGCCAGATCTGCGCTGATCCGAAGCCATGAGCCAGAAAGACTCTCTCTCTCTCTCTCTCTCTATCTCTGCCTCTCCTTCTCTGCCTGTATAACTCTTCAAACATGTATAACTTCAATCATATATAACTGTATAACTTTCAAATAAATAAATAAATCTTTAAAATAATTTTTCTATTGCCAGGTAAATTACTGCAAACTTAGCAGCTTAATACAATACCCATTCATTGTCCCATGATTTCCATAGGTCAGAAATCTGGGTACAGTTGAGATTAGTTCTGCTCAGTTTCACAAGGTTGAAATAAAGGTGTTTACTGGGCTGCACACTTTCCTTAAACTTAGGTCTTCTTTCAAACTCATGTGGTGGTCAGAAGAATCCATTGCCTTAGTGGCAGTACTGAGGCCCCATTCTCTAGGTGGCAGTACACTGAAGGCTGTTCTTGGTTCCTGCCATGGAAGTTACTTACTGTGTGGCTCCCTCCAGCTGCCCTCTCCCACTTTGAATCTCTCTTTGCAGGAATAACTCAAGCCTTTTTAAGGATTGCCTGGCTAGGTTAACCCCACCTGGTTGAGTTTTTAATTAACTCAGAACCAACTAATCTGAACCCAGGAGCCAGGAGTGTCTTCTGGGTCTCCCATGGTGGCTGCAGGGACCAAAGCTCTTGGGCCATCTTCCACTACTTTCCCAGTCCATAAGCAGAGAGCTGGATTGGAAGAGGAGCGGCTGGGACATGAACAAGCATCCATATGAGATTCCAGCACCGCAAACAGATGCTTAACCTACTACGCCACAGTGCCTACCCCAGGAGAGGGAATTATACATGGTGTGTGCGCCAGAAGGCACCTTAGAATTCTGTGCACCACAAAAATGTGCATTCTGTATGTCTCTTTCATTAGATTCAGGTGTTATAATTAAGCTGCTGGGTTGAACATCTGCCTGCCTGAATCCTGACTAGCCAGGACTTTTTGACATTAGTACATTAATGACGAAGCACTGGAAAATTCTCCTTTTGCTGCCAGTGAAGGGGAAAATGAACCAGTTCCTGTGGAACACTATATGGAAAAGGCAGGATACAGAAAGTTTTGACCCTTTGCGTTGGTTCTTACACTTGATTCTGTCCCATTCTATACTCAAAGTTCTGGTTTGACAAGGAGAATGTTTATGTTTTTAATATATTTATAAATTTCATGTATATTATGCCACTACCTCTGTCTCCTTAGTAGTGTAAGTCTATGTTGTATAGGATGTAGGAGCTGTGTAGGAAGAAAAAATATTTGCTAACTTCATTTTCCCCAGGAAACACAGTAGTAGCCAAATATGTTCGGCTGTATTCTTCTAATGATTCCATAGTCTTTCAGTTTTTCTGGTCATGGTGTCAGTTTCCCAGTGACAGCCACATTGTTATGGCCTCTGGTATCTTTTGGATAGGCATAAAGGTATGTAGTGTACTGTTCTGTCATGGAACAGAGGCATGGTAATTGGCCTTTTTGGTTATAAAATATCTGAGTTTTGCTGTAATATTCGTATGTATTACCATCTAAGCTAGCATACCAGACTCAGAAGTAATTAGGAAGATTATATTGATGGGTTTCAGTAATCACTAACCAGCCTCTTGGAAAGAAAGAAAAATAGTCTAAATTATTAAAAAAGAAATGATTTGAAAACAACATGGGTAAAAAGCAGTAAAACATGAAAATCTATGAAGGGGGCAGGAAGGGAATAGGGAAAATTTATCAAAGGGTACAGTTTCAGTTCGACAGAAGGAATACTCTTTATTGATCTATTATGCAGAATGATGACTATAATAAATAATATATTGTATATTTCAAAATTGCTTAAATAGTATATTTTAAATATTTTCACTACAAATAATAGATAAATGAGTGATTTGTAAATCAGCCTGATTTCATTATTCCCCACTGAAAACATATATCAAAACATAACAATGCACCCCATGAATATATATATAGTTCCCAACTTATGGTGGTTCAACTTACAATGGTGTAAAAGTACATCCATATGGCAACTCTGTTTTTTCCTTTCAAATAGTAGTCAGTAAATTACATGAGCTATTTAACACTTTATTATAAAGTAGGCTAGTTATTAGATGATTTTGTGCAACTATAGGCTGGTATAACTGTTTTCAGCACATTTAGGGTAGGCTAAGTGAAGCTATGGTGTTCAGTAAACTAGGTATAAATGCATTTTTTATTTATCATATTTTCTAATAATTATGGGTTTACTGGAAAATAAACTCATCATAAACTGAAGTGTATTTGTAATTATTATTAGTCAATTAAAAGTAAATTTTTTAAATTAAAAAAAATCTGTATGAAGGCCAGTAAAGAGACTAGTAGAAATGACTAATTTAGGAGTGAATCATTATAAGTAAGCCTGAAAGAGTGATAAGAATCTTAACTACAGGGCAACAGATAGTGGAAAGACAGACGAGGTGGACAGGAAAGAAAGTGAACATCTTTGGGACATTTTGCTCAGATCTCCTCCCTTGTTCTAGAGCTTGCCCTTCTTTATGCTCCATCCACATAGTTCCTGATGAAGTAGCTATGATGTGATGTGATCATAATCCTGACAATTGATTTGTTTGGGGGTGGACATCTGAATAGCCCCAGCCAATGTGTTCCTTCCCAGGATTGTTGAACTGGAGTTGCTTTTGAACTGTCTTTCTTAGTGGCTACAGCTGCAGTATGTAATGCTTATAGAGGACAGAAGCCACATTTGTAGCCTTAAGGAGAAAACAATCTTCAGTGAGAGAAGAATAAAGTTGAGATATTGAGAAAAGCAAAAATAAGAAACTGATAGGAAGGATCCCAATGACATGAAGACCCAGGCTCATTTATTCATGAGTTCCCAGGGAGGTAGTAGTAGCTTGTACATTCCTCTGCTTGGGTTCTGTGAGATCACTTGATATTCTTATGAATTCTCCTTAACATTATTTTTATTTACCTAGACAGATTACCATGTAATACATTGTTTCACATTTTTATTCTATTTCTCAAAGTCTTTATACAGATTTCTTAGCATCAGTCTTACCTCCTGCTTTTTATTCCACTTTTATTGGAAATTTCCCCTTGCCCTGGACTTTAAATGTATGTGTTTCTGTGCCTATTTTCTTTTTTTTTTTTTTTTTTTATTTGACAGATAGAGATAGACAGTGAGAGAGAGACAGAGAGAAAGGTCTTCCTTCTGTTGGTTCACCCCCCAAATGGCCACCACAGCCGGCACTGCACCGGTCCAAAAACCAGGAGCCAGGTGCTTCTTCCTGGTCTCCCACGCAGGTGTAGGTGCCCAAGCACTTGGGCCATCTTCACTGCCCTCCCAGGCCGCAGCAGAGAGCTGGACTGGAAGAGGAGCGACCGGGACTAGGACCCGGCGCCCATATGGGATGCCAACGCTGCAGGTGGAGGATCAACCAAGTGAGCCACGGTGCCGGCCCATCTGTGCCTATTTTCATACTTAATCTTTTTATTGAAATGCCTCATTTATTTGAGGAAATACTATTCTGTTTTTTTTTTTTTTTAAGTAGACTTTTTATTTATTTGAAAGGTAGAGAGAGAGAGAGAGAGATCTTCCATCCACTGGTTTACCCTTCAAATGGCTGCAACAGCCAGGTCTGGGCCAGGCTGAAGCCAGGAGCTAGAAATTCCATCCTAGTCTCCTACACGGATGCCAAGGGAGTACTTGGTTCATATTCTGCCTTCCCAGGCACATTAGCAGGAAGCTAGATCAAAAGCAGTATAGCCAGGACTCAAAAGAACACTCCAGTATGGGATGCTGGTGTCTCCACAATGCCAGCCCCATGATGATGATGATCACTGCTACTACTACTACTACTGCTGCTGCTGCTGCTGCTGCTATTTTTAAGATTCAATTCAAATGTTTTCTTCATAACTGATTCTGTGCTGGGTGCCACTTTCTTGTCAAAGTGAATAACTCTTCCCAACCTTTGGTCTCTTCTCCATTATTTTTTAATTGATTTAATTGTTTTATGATGTTTATTTACTTAATCTATCTCTCCCACTAGATTGTTAGCTTCTGAAAGTTACAAACTATAACTCATTCACCTTTGATATTCATATCTCTATCACTTTTCTTTTTAAAGATGTATTTATTTATTTGAGAGGCAGAGTTACAGAAAGAGAGAGAGAGAGAGAGCAAGGTCTTCCATCTGCTGGTTCACTCCCCAAATGGCCACAATGGCTGGAGCTGTGCTGATTTGAAGCCAGGAGCTTCTTCTGGGTCTCCCATGTGGGTGCAGAGGCCCAAGCACTTGGGCCATCCTCTGTCACTTTCCCAGGCCGTTAGCAGAGAACTGGATCGGAAGTGGAGCAGCCAGGACTCAAACAGGTGCCCATATGGGATGCCGGCACTGCAGGTGGAGTCTTAACTTACTACACAACAGCGCCAGCCCATCTAGCACTTTTTAAAATTCAACTGAACTCTGAATGTGTTGTGATTATTATCAAGAGTGATGATACCTGGGGCCGGTGCTGTGGTGTAGTAAGTAAAGTTGCTGCCTGCAGTGCTGGCATCCCATATGGGTGCCAGTTCAAGTCCTGGCTACTCCACTTCCAATCCAGCTCTCTGCTGTGGCCTAGGAAAGCAGTAAAAGATGGCCCAAGCCCTTGGGCCCTGCACCCACGTGGGAAACCTGGAAGAAGCTCCTGGCTCCTGGCTGCAGATTGGTGCAGCTCCAGCCATTGTGGCCAATTGGGCAGTGAACCAGCAGATGGAAGACCTCTCTCTCTCTCTCTGCCTCTCCTTTCTCTGTGTAACTCTGACTTTCAAATAAATAAATAGCTCTTAAAAAAAAAAGTAATGATCCCTTTTATATCAAAAGATATAAGCACCTTGATGATACTATAATAATGTGAGCTCCAGGTGTATTTATTTTATAAGCAATTTCCTATTATATTCAAAATGACATTCTTAATTTTAAGATTATGTCATAAATACTTTTGTTTTCTGTTAGTTTTGCTATACGCTGGTGTTTTGAGGAATACAAAGATATTAAAACATATCATTTCCGGCCGGCGCCGCAGCTCACTAGGCTAATCCTCCGCCTAGCGGCGCCGGCACACCGGGTTCTAGTCCCGGTCAGGGCGCCGGATTCTGTCCCGGTTGCCCCTCTTCCAGGCCAGCTCTCTGCTGTGGCCAGGGAGTGCAGTGGAGGATGGCCCAGGTACTTGGGCCCTGCACCCCATGGGAGACCAGGAAAAGCCCCTGGCTCCTGGCTCCTGCCATCGGAGCAGCGCGGTGCGCCAGCCACAGTGCGCCGGCCGCGGCGGCCATTGGAGGGTGAACCAACGGCAAAGGAAGACCTTTCTCTCTGTCTCTCTCTCTCTCACTGTCCGCTCTGCCTGTCAAAAAATAAAAAATAAATAAATAAATTAAATAAATAAATAAAACATATCATTTCCCTTACGGTTTAGCTCAAGAGATGAATATGTGTACTTATCCAAAGTTCAACTTTAAGACCATTCAAGACTAAATATAATATTAGTTCATACTTACGTAAAAACTTTCAGTGTTCTATGTTCCACATATCAGCATTAAAGTCTTTCCATTAAGCCAATGTCTAAATTTTGAGCATTTCTAAAATATAAGAATGTGTGAATTCACTAATCCAAACAACTCTATTACCCAAGAAGGGTACTTGAATTCATTATTTTAGTCATTTTTCAGAGAGAAACTGTGGGGAAGACTATAGGAAGTCTAAATGAAACAGTTTTTACCCAGTGGAATTATTTGGAGGTAATCATAATAGCAAAATTTTTTCTCAACTTTATATTTTAAAATTTGTCAAGCATATATAATGTTTAAAGACTTCTTCAGTGAACCCTTCACAGCTTGTACCTGGGTTTAACTGTTATTAACATTTGCTATATTTGACATCTCTTTCTTCTATACCTCTTCCTTCTGTCTGTAAACATCCATGTTACTGTTGAACCATTTGGAAATGAGTTGCAAACCTCAAGAAACTTTTTCCCTAAATATTTCAACAAAAATATTATTTGATTACACAAGACTTTTAGATTTTAAAACCATTGTATTTCCAATATAATAAGTAAACTCATAAATTAGTAACAGATTAAATAATCTAAATCTAGAGTTGACACAAGAAAGAAAACCTGAATTAGTCTGAGTAGACTCCGTCTGAGCCAGATCCAGAGGATGTGTCAACAAAACACCTGCCAGACTGAGATATTTCAGTTAGTTGCAGGGAAATAACATGATATGAGTGAGTAGGGTAGAATTCTCAGGGCAAGAATGAAAAGCCATTTTTGTAACATACAAAAGAAGAAAGAATTCAGCAAGTGTATCTTCCCCAAAATGGTTTGGGAACCTAGAATTGTGTTCTCAAAAAAGTCAAGCAAAAGAATTTTCAAGAGAGGGTGGTGTTCAGCTTCGCAAGTTGGTTCAGATTTCTTTGTTTTGGTGTATCCAAACAAATCTCAGAAGATTCATTTTAAGGCAAAATACTAATTTAAGCAATTTGAAAAAAGGAAGAATTCTGTTTACTCTTTGGGATTCATTTTTCAAAATAAAAAGCCAGAAAAAATTGTAAATCCTCTCAAGTTAACAATTGTGCTTATTATATTATAAAACATGAGCAATCCTTTGTTGTTACTAAATAATGACTGTAAAGAAATGAAATGAGAGTGGGCATTTGCTCCATCACTTAATATACCAGGTAAAACACCCAGATCTCGTATCAGAGTGACTGTGTTTATCCTGGTTTTGCTTCCAATTCCAGTTTCCTGATAATGCAGATCCTTGGACAGCAGGTATGGCTCAGGCTGATGGGTCCCTGGCACCCATGTGGGAGACCTGGATTAAGTCCCCAATGCTAACTTCAGCTTGGCCCAGTCCCAGCCATTACAGGCATTTGGGGAATGAGACAGCAGACAGGAGCTGTGTGTGTATGTCTTTATCTCTCTGTTTTCCCCTCTTTCTGGCTCTCAAATAATCTTTTAAAAGATATAAATATACCCTAAACTCTTTGTTTCTTACCTTTCTTGCTTTATCTTGTTCTTTTTTAGATTTATTTGGGGCCAACACTGTGGCACAGCGGGTGAAGCTGCTGCCTACAGTGCTGGCATCCCATATGGGTGCAGGTTTGAGTCCCAGCTGCTCCACTTCCAATCCAGCTCCCTGCTAATGAACTTGAGAAAGCAGTGGAAGGGTGGATGGAAGACTTCTCTCTGTCTCTGCCTCTGCCTCTCCCACTCTTTAACACTGCCTCTCAAATAAATTTATTTGAGAGGGAGAGACAGAGATCAAGATCTTCCATCTGCTGGTTAACTCCCCAAATGGCCTCAACAGCGGGAGCTAGACTGATCCAAGGCTGGGAGCCAGAAACTTCTTCCAGGATTCCCACATGGGTACAGGGGCCCAAGCACTTGGGCTATCTTTTGCTGCCCTGTCAGTTGCATTAGCAGGGAACTAGGCTGGAAGTGAAGCATCTGGGACTCGAACCAATACCCATATGGGATGCAGGTGCTGCAGGCAACAGCTTTACCTGCTATGCCACCATGTCGGCTCCCTTCTTTATTTCTAATAATCAAGTTTCATAATAACTTTGTCTCCTACCAGGAATTTTTATGTGGTGAGAAGTGCCTGGATCAGCTAATTCAGAGACTCCTTCAGTCAGCAGATGAAGAAGCCATCATTGAAATTCTGGATGAAAACCTCAAATCAGCTAAATAAATGTTAATTTATTGCTTATTATATAATGAAATGGGTCTGTGTCAAGAAGTACATTAAAGCATGGATGTCTTAATGTATATTCATAAGATGCAGCTATAAATAAACTATACATACAAATATATATATATATATTGACAGGCAGAGTTAGACAGTGAAAGAGAGAGAGACAGAGAGAAAGGTCTTCCTTTTGCTGTTGGTTCCAAGTGACCGCTACGGCCAGCACGGTGCGGCTGGGGCGCTGCGCTGATCCGAAGCCAGGAGCCAGGTGCTTCTCCTGGTCTCCCATGTGGGTGCAGGGCCCAAGCACTTGGGCCATCCTCCACTGCCTTCCCGGGCCACAGCAGAGAGCTGGACTGGAAGAGGAGCAACTGGGACAGAATCTGGCACCCCAACCGGGACTAGAACCCGGGGTGCCAGCACCACAGGCGGAGGATTAGCCTAGTGAGCTGCAGCCCCGGCCCTATATTTTAATGAATCAGAGTTACATATATTTTTTAAAGATTTATTTATTTATTTGAAAGGTAGAGTTACAGAGAGGCAGAGGCAGAAAGAGAGAGAGAATCTTTCATCCATGGTTTCACTCCCTAAATGGCCACAACAGCCGGAGCTGGGCTGATCCGAATCAGGAGGCAGGAGCTTCTTCCGGATCTCCCACGCAGGTAAAGGGGCCCAAGCACTTGGTCCATCTTCTGCTGTTTTCCCAGGCCATAGCAGAGAGCTGGATTGGAAGTGGTGCAGCCAGGACCTGAACTGGTGCCCATATGGGATGCTAGCACTGCAGGCAGTGGCTTTACCCACTATGCCACAGTGCCAGCCCCCAGAATTACATTTCTTGACCTAAAGGCTTATTTTTAATTTCCTGTATATTCAACTCCTTAAGTAGAAAACAAGCATGCATCTTTGAAAAGAGAAATATGTTGATCAACTTAAGTTCAGGAATTGCAAAGGAACTATAGTCGGAGTCTTAGGAATTGCAGTTTAAGAGACAACACATTCAGATGGCTCTGAATGAGTGTTTTCACAGAAAGAGGCAAAGTAGAGAGTTATATAAAGAAGTAGTACTGATTTATTACAGAGCAGTAAAAATTCTTTTGTTAGAATCTTAACATTATGAGAGATCAGGAGTTACATGACCAATTAAATATAAGAAAAGAATGCTTATACATAGTGAACATGTTCCTAGAGAAGACTCTAGAGGCCGGTGCTGTGGTGTAGCAGAAAAAGCTGCCACTTTTACCTGCTCCGCTTCTGATCCAGCTCTGCTATGGCCTGGGAAAGCAGTAGAAGATGGCCCAAGTGCTTGGGCCCTGCACCTGCGTGGGAGACCCAGAGGAAGCTCCTTGCTCCTGGATTCGGATCGGTGTAGCTCTGGCCATTGCAGCCATCTGGGGAGTGAACCAGTGGATGGAAGACCTCTCTCTCTCTTTCTGCCTCTCTGTAACTCTGCCTTTCAAATAAATAAATAAATATTTTATGAAAAAAGAAGAGTCTAATATCCTTTGGATATGCATCCAGAATCTCCGAATACAGTGTAATTATTTCATCATTCCAGATGCCTGTAGTCAAAGGGTGAAGGGGACCATAACTTCATATTTCTTTTTCTTAAAAAAAGATTTATTTAATTTTTGAAAGGCAGAGTTACAGAGAGAAAGAGAGAGATTTCCATCCGCTGGTTCACTCCAAATGGCCACATCAGCCAGAGCCAGGAGATTCATTCACGTCTCCATGTGGGTGCAGTGGCCCAAGCACGTCAGCCATCTTCCACTGCTTTCCCAGGTGCTTTGACATGGAGCTGGCTTGGAAGTGGAGCGGCTGGGACTCAAACCAGTACCCACAGGGGATGCTGGTGCTGCAGGCAGTGGTTTAACCTGCTGGGCCACAGCGTTGGCCCTCATAAGTTCATTATTTCAAATAACCACTTGGGACATGTACGTCTTTTCTTTTGAAGCATCCCAAATCCATTTTGAAAAGCTCTTTATTTTTTAAGTTTATTAATTTATTTTATTAATTAATTAATTTTATTAATCTGTTTCTTCATATGGCTTACCAGGTGGGGTGATAATGATTTATCAGGTATATAGAAACAACATTCTAACTGAGTAATAGCACAAGTGCCCTTTGGGAGGCAGTGATACTGTTGAATGTTACATGGTTTTGCAAGACCACTTTTCTTGTTAAGGAATTTCAGTATTTACCAAGCTTAATGTTTGTTGACTGTCATTTAAAGCTTACTGGGTGGGAAGCATTATGGCGCAGTAGGTTAATCCTCCACCATTGGTGCTAGCATCCCATATGGGTGCCGGTTCTGGTCCTGGCTGCTTCTCTTCTGATCCAGCTCTCTGCTGTGGCTTGGGGAAGCAGTAGAAGATGGCCCAAGCTCTTAGGCCCCTGCACTCGTAGGAGAGACCCAGAGGGAGATCCTGGCTCCTGGCTTCAGATCAGCTCAGCTCTGGCCGTTGGGGCCATTTGAGGAGTGAACCAGCAGATGGAAGACCTTTCTCTGTCTCTCCCTCTCACTGCCTGTAACTCTACCTCTCAAATAAATAAGTAAAATCTTAAAAAAAAAAAAAAAAAAAAAAAAAAAAGGCTTATTTTGTAAATTTGGTTAATGCCTCTAATGTGGGCATTTACATCTTCAAGTCCTAAAGAAGGAAGAAACACAGAAAGTATATGGCCATACCACTGAAATACTTAGCAAACCCATTTGGCCTTTAGAGTGGAAAGTTAGTAGGGACAATATCAAGGATGGATGGAACATGGTCCTGTGTCCCTGGAAAACCAAAGTGCAATGTCGTATCCAACTGGGGTAAAAATTAGAGGCAAAGATTGGCTCCACAGAGGCACTGAGTTCCATTAGGTACTACCCAGTACTGGTGGTCTCAAACAGTTTCAAATCATTCAGAGGTTTTTAGGGTTATTATATTGGTGTAGGACTTTGGTGGACACTACCTAAGGTGATGAGTATCATTTGATTGATTGGTTTTAGTGTCATTATCTTGTTTCCAGTGGAACTTCCCTAACAACAAGCCACTTCAGTGTGTCCCAGGGGCCGGTGCTGTGGGATAGCTGGTAAAGCCACCATCTGCAGGGCTGGCATCGGCATCCCGTATGGGCACCATTTCAAGTCCATTTCAAGCTGCTCTACTTCTGATCCAGCTTTCTGCCATGGCCTGGGAAAGCAGCAGAAGATGTCCCAAGGCCTTGGGCCCCTGCACCCACGTGGGAGACCTGGAAAAGGCTCCTGGATCCGTGCTTCCAATTGGCACAGCTCTGGCCGTTGTGGCCAACTAGGGAGTGAACCAATGGATGGAAGATCTCTCGCTCGCTCGCTCTGTGCCTCTCCTCTCTCTGTGTAACTCTGGCTTTCAAGTAAATAAATAAATCTTAAAAACAAAAAAAGAGTGTCCCATAATTCAGAACTATTGGAACTACTCACAGTTCAACCTAAGAGGTTGGTGAAGTCATCCTGAGTCTTTTATTCTATGCTTTTTATTGATGATCTTAGGGTTTCATCACATGAAGATGTAAGGTATATGAAGACATCAGAGTCATCAAGAGTCAAAGGAGTCTCGATTAGTAATATCAGAAAACCATAAAAATAGGAATGGCCTCTTTCAGACAAAATATAGTTTCTTTCTTTTTTATTTATTTATTTATTTTTATTTTTTTTAACTTTTATTTAATGAATATAAATTTCCAAAGTACAGCTTATGGATTACAATGACTTCCCCCCCATAACGTCCCTCCAACCCGCAACCCTCCCCTCTCCCCTTCCATTCACATCAAGAGTCATTTTCAATTCTCTTTATATACAGAAGATCAGTTTAGCATACATTAAGTAAAGATTTCAACAGTTTGCTACCACACAGAAACATAAAGTGAAAGATACTGTTTGAGTACTAGTTATAGCATTAAATCTCAATGTACAGCACACTAAGGACAAAGATCCTACATGAGGAGTAAGTGCACAGTGACTCCTGTTGTTGACTTAACAAATTGACACTCTTGTTTATGGCCTTCAGTAATCACCCTAGGCTCTTGTCATGAGCTGCCAAGGCTATGGAAGCCCCCTGAGTTCACCGACTCTGATAATATTTAGACAAGGCCATGGTCAAAGTGGAAGTTCTCTCCTCCCTTCAGAGAAAGGTACCTCCTTCTTTGATGACCCATTCCACTGGGATCTCACTCGTGGAGATCTTTCATTTAGGTTTTTTTTTTTCCCCAGAGTGTCTTGGCTTTCCACGCCTGAAATACTCTCATGGGCTTTTCAGCTGGATCCGCATGCCTTAAGGGCTGATTCTGAGGCCAGAGTGCTGTTTAGGACATCTGCCATTCTATGGGTCTGCTGTGTATCTCACTTCCCATGTTGGATCGTTCTCTCCCTTTTTTATTCTGTCAGCTAGTATTTGCAGACACTATTCTTGTTTATGTGATCCCTTTGGTTCTTAGTCCTATCATTATGATCAATTGTGAACAGAAATTGATCACTGGGACTAGTGAGATGGCATTGGTACATGCCACCTTGATGGGATTGAATTGGAATCCCCTGGTATGTTTCTAACTCTTCCGTTTGAGCATGTCCCGAATTGCACATCTCTTCCCTCTCTTATTCCCACTCTTATATTTAACAGCAATCACTTTTCAGTTAAGTTTCAGCACTTAAGAATAATTGTGTATTGATTACAGTATTCAACCAAAAGTATTAAGTAGAACAAACAAACAAAAAATACTAAGAGGGATAACATATTAAGTTGCGCTTCCCAATCATTCCCTTATAATGGGGATATCCACCAAGGAAGTCCAGAGGTGCTAGACATAGGTGAGTGGCCACAAATACAGCAGTTGCATTTGTTCTTGAAAGTAGCATATATTAAGACTTCTTTCAAGGACCATGTCTGTATTTTGTGACTAGGGAAGTTTCTTTGAGTGTGTAGAGCTGCAGAAACCATGAGAAGGAGGGGTAGTGTTTCCTCCTGAGTGTGAAGCAGGCGCTTCTTGTTGCTCCGCTGCAACTACATCTGCCGTAGATGATTTTCTCCTCCGTTAGTAGAGTAAGAGGGAGAGAACGCCGACTGAGCGCTCACCATCTAAAGGAAAAATAGAAAAGCACTGGAGTCAAAGATACCTGTGCATGGTGTGTGTGTGTGTGTGTATGGAGAGAGAGAGAGAGAGAGAGAGAGAGAGAGAGAGAGTACTTATAAAGCCAGTTCATGATTCTTGGAGACCTGATGCTGTGTGCTTAATTTTTCTAGGTCTGGTGAGTTACTTGCCAGGCATCTAGTAAACTTGAATAAATGGTCTTCAGTAAACCATTCAGGTTGGGTAGCCACCTGTTAGTCTTATTTAATTTTTCTCTGAGTCCATATCCCATAGTTTAGAAGCACAGAGTTTGTTGATAAACCTGACGTTCCAACATCATTGGAAACAATTTTTGTGAAGATGTTTCTGGGATACATAATCACCAGGTTAAAGATTGTGTGATGAGGTTGCTTTGTCTCTGGGTTATGCTGTGAAAAGACTGCTCTACAAATTACAAACTGCTCTACACTTGACAGTAAGTAAGACCTCCTTTAATCACAGCAGTTTCGTAGACTCTTTCATTTAGTCTCATAGGCCTGCCAGGAACATTTCAAAGAATGACAGCTGGCTTTTTACCTGAAGGAGCAGATGTAAGGTTAAGTAATACTGAGATTAGAGCCATAGGCCAAAAGAGAAGAAAGCTTTCTATTAGTTTAGCCAATTGAGTTTTTATTATTCCATAAGTACATCCCATTAATCTTGAGGACTGAGTATGGTATGTGCAATGGAAGTGTTGGAATATAGACTAAACTGTGCAAACAGATTGTATTGCTTGTCCAGTAACATTAAATTCTCTCTCACTTTGCAATCAAAGAATACTCATCCCTGAGAAAGCATTATATTTTCTAATAGTATTTTTCTAACTGCCATGACTATGGCCCTGTGCCAAAGAATCCACCCAGTGAAAAAACTTAGAAATATAACTCGTAAGAGGTTGAACATCATTTCTTGTTTGAAAATACTTTTTTTTTTATTAATTTAACATTTCAAATAAGCCTAACTTAGTATCTCTTTTGAAATTCTAGAAGTCCTCTGGTATATCCAAAGTTAGTCTGAGGTCAAAAGACTCAGTTTAGAATATTCTGTTTGGTTTTGGGGAGTTTGTTAGATATATCAGAGTTTAAAACACTTGATCAAAATTGGATCATGGATCATTATGAATTAAAGGTGACAAAAGATTTTAAAGGCACAGGCATTTGTCACAGTCATTGAGATGCCACTTGAGGTATGTGCATCCCATATAGCAGTGCCTGATTGGAGTCCTGGCTCCTGTACTTCCAATCTAGCTTCCTGCTAGTGCACACTCTGGGATGCAGCAGATGATGGCTCAAATATTTGGGTTCCTAACACCCACCTGTGAGACCCAGACTGAAGTCTGGACCCCTGACATTGGCCTGTACCAGCCCTGGTAGGCATTTGGGGAAAGAGCAGATGGAAAAGATCTCTTTCCCTCCCTTCTTCCCTCTCGCTTTTAAATAAAATGAAAATTAAATTTCTTTTTTAAAAAAGAAATTTCAGAATTCTTAAAAAGTACATTTATAAACTTTTATCTCAAATCTTAAACAGCTAATAGAGACAGAAGTTGTCTGGATTACATTTAGTCTTAATAGATATGTCTGTTTTAATTAACCAATAATGTTTTTATTTATCAAGGATTATTAAAGTTGTATGAACTTGGAAAATTGGGTTATTTATGAGTATACAGTTTTTTAAAAGTTTGGTACTATGTATACCATTCATGCATATACATGTATATAGAAAATACAGAAATAAAGGCCTTATAGCCGTTATTTAAAATTTTTGCCAGGGCTGGCACTGTGGCATAGTGGGTAAAGCTACCTCCTTCAGTGCTGGCATCCCATATGGGCACTGGTTCAAGTCCTGGCTGCTCCACTTCCAACCCACTCTCTAGTATGGCCTGGGAAAGCAGTAGAAGATGGCCCAAGTCATTGGGCCCCTGCACCCACATGAGAAGACCCAGAGGAAGCTCCTGGCTCCTGGCTTTGGATCGGTGCAGCTCTGGCCATTGCGGCCAATTAGGGAGTGAATCAGCTGATGGAAGACTTCTCTCTGCCTCTCTTTCTCTCTGTGTGTATCTCTCAGCCAGGACTTGAATCAGCACTCTGATATGGAATGATAGCATCACAAATGACACCTTAACCCAATGCACCACAATGCCAACCCTAGGGAATTTTTAACTAAAGTACTTAAATCATCCCAAAGACTAGCAAAGAAACTGGAATCAAATAGGCTTTTAGTTTCATCTGTCATATATTTAATGCCAGCATTTTGAAAGAAGCTTTTCTGAAACTGGGCATAATAATTGTAAGTGGGTTCATCAGGCTATTGAAAACATGTTAGATAATGGACTAATAAATGCATTTGAGATTTTTTTATTAAGATATCTGGCCAATTTTTTAGCATTTGTCCTGTGATACTCAACTTTTAAAAAAATTTCCAGTAGGGCCATTGCAGCTAGCCAACTAAGTCCATTCCTTAGGCATGATATCTCCATAAAGTAGAATTTATTGGTCTGAATCTGAAAAGTCAGGCTGATGGCTTTTGATTAAGAGATCAAATTATTGAATGAATTCAATTGCATCTTCTTTGACTTTCGAAAACCATTCACAAAAGCATGCAATTCAGCATTTGTCCAAGGAACAGAAGTAATGGTTTTAGTACAATCCTCATTAGACTTAATTTTAGATGGAGACATGAAAATAGGTGGGGTTTTAGAACTCAGTTTTGAGGGGCTCAATTTCAGTATTATAAAAAGGCAGCTCAGGCCGGCGCCGCGGCTCACTAGGCTAATCCTCCGCCTAGCGGCGCCGGCACACCGGGTTCTAGTCCCGGGCGGGGTGCCGGATTCTGTCCCGGTTGCCCCTCTTCCAGGCCAGCTCTCTGCTGTGGCCAGGGAGTGCAGTGGAGGATGGCCCAGGTGCTTGGGCCCTGCACCCCATGGGAGACCAGGAAAAGCACCTGGCTCCTGGCTCCTGCCATCGGATCAGCGCGGTGCGCAGGCCGCAGCGCGCCGGCCGCGGTGGTCATTGGAGGGTGAACCAACAGCAAAGGAAGACCTTTCTCTTTGTCTCTCTCTCTCACTGTCCACTCTGCCTGTTAAAAAATAAATAAATAAAAAAATAAAAAGGCAGCTCAGAGACAGAGAAGGATGGCAAGGAGAAGAGCAAGCTGGGGAATAGTCAAGGGAACAAGAGCGAGCAGAAGGCACCGAGAAACAACTCAAAATCTTCCAATTTGGAAACTGAGACAGTTGTGAACTTGTCTGCCTAAGAGAGGCAATAGTAGATTCATTATTAGTGGTCTCCCAATTTAAATATATTTCCCTTTCAAATTATTGAGTTTTTAAAGCTTTTACTAGTTGAGCCTGCAAATAAACTAATTCTGAATTCTCAAAAGAGCCCCAAGTGAATCCAGAAAGTTTCAAGTCACCATAACTAATTTTAATCCATCCTGCCTGATAGAAATCTACAAGAGGGCCTATAAGTTTTAACCATAAAAGGGCATGCATCCCACCAGAGCACAGGTCTTCACCTGATACAAGGGCAAATGTAGAGATTCCATCCACAGCTGCTTGCCTAGGAATGGATGCCATTAGAAAATGCTCACAATTGGGCTTTATCAACTGAGTGCTGAGTCTCAAGAAACAGTCTTTTTTTAAAAGATTTATTTATTTATTTGAAAGTCAGAGTTACACAGAGAAAGAACAAGAGGCAGAGAGAGAGAGAGAAGTCTTCCATCAGCTGGATCACTCTCCACTTGGCCGCAACGGCCAGAGCTGCGCCAATCCAAAGCCAAGAGCCAAGAGCTTCTTCCATATCTCCCACGAAGGTGCAGGGGCCCAAGGACTTGGGCCATCTTCCACTGCTTTCCCAGGTCATTGCAGAGAGCTGGATCGGAAGTGGAGCAGCCAGAACTCGAACCAGTGTCCATACAGGGTGCCGGCACTGCAGGTGGCGGCTTTACCCGCTATGCCACAGCACTGGCCCCAAGACACAGTCGTGGTCCTTGCTGTCTGTGCCAGTTTGGAGGAGGGATGATAAAGGTAGCCGGTTTTGGCCACTCAGACTAGGACTAGGCTGGGTTATACCGAACTCTCATAAATAACAGGGTGATACAAATTCTCAGGGTGCCACTTTGAGACAGGCAAAATACACACTGAAATCTGTCCATTGCAGTACAGTTATCTGGCCAATGAAGGTGCAAGTCTAGAGATTTTATCTGTGACCACTGGGCTGAGATAAAGGCTTTTGGGCTTTATCCGGTGCTGGGTCACACAGAAGAGAACCTGTCCCTGAGTTCCCTAAGATCTCTCTTCTAACCCCCTCCTCAGTGACTGAAGTATTGCTTTGCTTTTTCCGCTGGATGTTGAGAGAGGTATAGCTCTCTACTATGGAGGATCCAAATACTCAGCCTGCGTAGACCTGTGGCAGAGTTGGCCCCATCCAACTCTGGATTATATCACTGGGGGTCTGGCACTGGGATTCAAGCCCAAGGACTAGACTTAATTCCTCCTCACTCCTCCATGCTGCACTACTGAAATCTGAAAGAGGGCTCACATGGGCCATTCTTTCTTTTCTGTTTTTTTTTTTCTTTTTCTGTTTTTGAAAATTTTGCCCATCTATTTTCCTTTTTTTTATTTTGCAAAAAAAGAAATCTATTTGAAAGGTAGGGAAATGGAGATCTTCTATCTGCTGGTTCACTCCCCAAATGGCTGCACGGCCAGGCCTAGGCCAGGCTGAAGCTGGGAGCTAGGGACCCAATCCAGGTCTGTCATATGAGTGGCAGGGACCCAACTACTTCAACCATCATCTGCTCCCCACCTCCCCCCAGAGTGCACATCAGCAGGAAGCTAGAATCAAAAGTGGAGCCAAGACCTGAACCCAGGCACTCTCATGTGGTATGTGGGTATCCTAACCACAAGGCCAAACAGCCACTCTTACTTTTTAGTTTCACATAGCCCCATTTGTCAGCTTTTTAAATT